GTCCTAAACGGACCGTCCGTCATAGTTTCCAACTGCATATAGACGTAAAACGAATCAATCAATCTATATAGATACTTCGGATCGGAAAGACAGTAACGTATCCACCGATAAGAATCGGGAAGACGCACTTACCTTCAAGAGCAAGGTGGATGCGAGCTTGGCTGGAGACCCACTGTGGGTCGTGGGGGCGATATCGTTAAAGTCTTTGTCAAGGAACTTTTCTCTTCATGCTTTTCTCTTCATGCAAAACACCGACTTCCAGCTCATTGCAACACCAAAACGTCACCCTAAGCTTTATATCACAATGACAGACGCGGAGCATCCCTTTCAGCGTGAAGTCGTCCAAATTTTCCAATCAGGCTGGTCCGAAAGCAATAGAAAGCGCAGTATACAGACAGCAGCAGAACATCTATCCCTGAAAACGGCGGAGTCCGGATCCAGGTCCGGGATTTACATCTGGAGCAGCATCCAAGCGATACAGCAATGTGCAAGCAAAAACCCTGTCGCGATAGATTTCATGCTGTTCGTCTTCCAGGCCGCAGCGAAGCAATTTCCACAGTCCGTAGGCAACGAGTACGGCTCAGGTAGCAAAGCTGGTTTTACGCAACTAAAGTACTGGATCATCGAACAAGCCAGCGGGTTCCAAGGGGTGCATTTCCCTTCCACTGTTGGCAAACCAGATACGCAAGACCCTTCGAACCTGCGTTTCAGTAAAGCTGAGGTCCAAGAGCAACTTAATGCGGTGCTTGAACGACTGGAAGATTGGAGGGAGGAGAGGAGAACATGGATCATTAATGCTGCCATACGAGCCCGCTGCATGTCGCTCAATATCTTGGAGCACGATACCGAAGGTACAGAAGCCGAAGCTCTTATCGACAGTGCTTTAGGGAGTAAGCAGCTAAGCGAGTCGGAGTATATCGGCATTTGCATACTGCTTCGCGGATGTGCAGAAACATTCTCCACGCGTCTTGGGAAGCAGGGAAAGGGACAGAAGTTTGGGGAATGGGCACGGGACTTCGCACTTGCCATAACTGTGCCATGTAGTTTCTCGGCGAAAGCTCACACAGAGGTATGTAATGTCTGCGACATCAACCTGTTCTTCGGCTAATAAGATAAAACAGTTAGTTCTTCGCAATATAAAAGACGGTCCACACGATGAGTCGAGCCAGGAGCTTTTTGGTCCTGATAAGTGGCTTGGATTGTAGAAGATTGTTGAAGTAGGCTGTGTCAGAGTCAAAGATCCTATAGCGCCTTCCAGATAACACTCTATAATTTCCGACCCTGCCTCCACAAAGACTTTCTCCCGTGATATATCCAAAGTATGTATACAAAGGTATTACGAGTGCGCAACAATAACCTTGACGTTCTTGTTTACCCAGAACGTGCCCCCAACCAGATCCGTGTGGCCCTGCTGCACGCATAACTGCTGCACGTCGTTGGCATACTCTGCCGCCTTCTTGCACGCCACCCCATCATCTAATTCGCCGCAGATGCTGATAGAGGCCGTGCCGGACGACTTATATGTGGAACAGTGGCTTTTCCCGCCGTTGCCGATTCTGCAATTGCCTCCGTCCCCCCTCAACTTGTTGATCGCATCGGTCACGTCCTTAGTCTTAGGACTACCACCGGAGGCCTCGCAGTGAGCACCGTACTCGAAACCGCTGGAGTCGAAGTCCGGGGCGGGGGAAGCAACGGCGAAGGTAGCCGCAAGGAGAAGAGCGAGTGTCTTGCTAAGAGAAGGCATCTAAGGAATGTTAGTATAGGTCAAGGAAGGAAATGCGGTCAAGTGTAATTGCTTACTTTGATGGTTCGGTGGCGGTGATGGTGGTATTCAAAGTAGGGCGAATGTTTGCTTTGCTTTGTGTATTCGAGTTCGATGGTGATGATGTTTCTGCTGCTTTCAAGGACTGTGATGGTGAATATTTATACACGCCTTTGCCTCCTCTGATCTGCATCAATGGCTCTCAAACCAAGCACTTGGCTCGAGTCCTCGCCCCAAACCGCCCCAAACTAAAATATCACGCTTCTTCAACTGATCTCCTGGATATACCTGGTCCCGTAACACTGCGTCTTTAAGATGTGCCTGAATACACAAAGGAAAATGCACTGTACCATCTCTCAAAAGCTATTCTCTGCCATTCTGTCTTCCATTATAGAAAACCACCTTAGTCGCTGTACAGTGGACATCACTCTGTTGAATTGAGTTGAGCATGTCTTGCTATGCGGTGAGGACGGCCCCGATCGCGGCCGCTACTCGACCCGACCCCGGCCGTTACCACTGCCACGGTATACACCGTGCAACGGACCCCACGTAATCTCGCCCCACCGCAGGACCCTAATGCGGAGAAAGGACTTACACATGCATTAGGCACTATTTCAGCAGTCGTAAGCACTAAGCTAACAACACCCTGTAACTATAATCATCCTTATCAGCCGCTACAAGGCGGCCCCTTTCCTGACCTCGTTCTGGCCCCCGCCTTCTATTTACTCAGTTCGGATTAGGGAGGGCCCGTGCCTGGCCGCTGTCACTCAGCCCTGTGGGGGCGGGAAAGTAGGGCCAAATAGGTTCCAGAAAAATGGCCCCGCCAAGCAACCGTCGCTTCCTCCCAGCAACATGGAACTCTCTCAACCTTCGCTTTCTAACACCCTGCACGCTCTGTGACACCAGTTGCTCGCACAAATCAAGCCTGCACTGGCTGTAGCCCTTGCACGTCGCTCTTTATCGCTCTTTGTCGCTACCTGCATCAGCTGCAGCCTTCGCACGTCGCCGCGGCTGACTGCAGCAGCAAACGCAGCAGCAAGCAAGAACAGTGGGCAAACACAAACAGGCAAGAGTAGCTAATATCTAGTATCACAGGAACAGACAACAGTACTGCATCGAGCAATAACAGCAGTGTACGAGTCCTAGCAGCTGTTAAGAAATCACATGTTCGCCGGGTAGCTGGCATGTGGACGCCGGAAATACGATGGAACAGGAACGCATTAAAGTTGAATGTTAAGGATACCACAATTCGACCCACGTGCTGGGAGGAGCTGATTAAAATGCCTTTCCAATGTTCATTTTTATCAAAGAAACTATTTCAACATAGAAAGCCACGTGGAAGTATATTCCGGCGTTTGCATGTTCACTTGAATTTACCCCGCCTTTCTCGTGTTCGTATTTTAGGCAACAGCCGGAACACCTTAAAACCAGAAATCATTTTCCACGTCGCAACTCTCATATCCAACTCCTTCACTACAACAAATATAATCAATTGCTCCAATGCCAATGGATCTGGATAGCGGTCCACCGGCTAAAAGAACAGCTGGATCCCCTTTGTCTCTCCCGGTGGATTCTGTCAAACGGGTTGCCCGCACCAGGGACAATGATCAAGGCCCAAAGCTCGGCAACCTGCCAGAAGAGCTTCTAGAACATATCATTTCGTATATGGGATGCTGGGAAGTACGAGGCCTAGTGCGCGTGTCACGCAAGTTTCAGCGGCTTGCTACCCCACGTTTACACTTGCCGGGCCCACAGCTCGACGACCTTCCGGACGACCTTCTGGAAAAAATCATCGCAGAGATAAGACATCAGGATGTGCTTCACCTGGTGTACGTGTCGAGCCAGTTTCGGCGGCTTGCTGAGAAACGATTATACTCCTCTTGCTCATTTGCCAACGACGGTAGCCCGGAAAGCCCAAATGAAGATTACGAGGAATGGCGCCGCCTATGCAACCTAATCCGTACGCTCGTTGAGCGACCAGACGTTGCGGCATACATGCACACAGTTGAATTCGATCATATTGAGTGGAGAGATGAAGTATGGGGAGGGGATGATACGTGGGGGAGGGATCTGAGCGAGGAGTTGTGGGCAAAGGCTCGGGACCAAATTGATATCGACGAGGCTTACAAGGAAACTATACTCTCACGCCAACGTCCGGAGAACCTAACGAGCGCCGCGACGACGCTGTTATTGTGTCTCCTGCCAAATCTGGAAAGGCTTAGTTTTGAGGCGCCGATGTTTCACGAGTCGGACAGTTCGCGCGTCTGGCGAAAGAAAAATAACGAGGAGGAAAAATACGACCATCCCCTTACGAATTTGATGAAAGTCGTTTCTAATCATCCATCGTGGCCCCGAATAGAGGTAAACCGTTTAGCTGCGGAAACAGCCGGATCTAGGATACCACTTGCAAAACTACGTGAACTTGTATTCACGCTATACGATGGCGAGACCGAGATGAACAATAATTGTCTCGCCTTCTCCGCTGGTATTCCCTCTCTACGTGAAGTACGTACATTCTGGATGAGCAGTGGTAGTGCCGAATGGCCGTCCACGCGCACTGTTAATATCGAACAAGCCACCTTTCTCGCCCACGAACCCGACATGAGAGAGATGCTTGGGTTCTTCAAGGCTTGTAAGGCTCTCAAGTCGCTCGCCATGGAATACCGCCATCCAATCTTCGACTCACCCGAGAATGCCGCCATGCTGCGAGAAGCTATTTCACTACACACAGAGTCTCTTGAAAGTCTCCTTATCGATGAACAAGACGACTATGGAACACCTCAAACTAAAGAAACACACGTAATTGGCAGCTTGAAGGCGTTCCGTCGTTTGAAGGCTCTGTCCGTTCCAGGCCAGCTTTTGACCGGTTTAAGCTGTAACCCAGAGGCACACAACAATGGTGCCGCTCTGATTGACACTTTACCAACGTCCCTCGAGGTTCTAACTATCAACGGTAGCGTCAAAGGGGACACAGCGCTAGAGGAATTCCTCGCCAGCCTCGCCAACCCCAGCAGCGGGGGACGGGTCACGTTACCAAACCTCCGACAAGTTGAAATGCGCCCGCGTATAGACCATTGGGCTCAGCGTGAAAAATGCGATAATATAACGTACCTCTATGTCCCGGGACAGCTGCTTGAGCAACTTCGCCCTGTATTTGCGAGTTGGGGTGTCCGGCTTCTGGGGCCGGAAGGCGCAATTGAGGACAAAAATTTCCTCGGTGGTAGTGGTGAAAATGGGGAATTATACTCTTATTTTCCGCGGACGAAACTTACTGGCTAAGGGCCTAGAAGAGTACTTTTCTCCTTAACTTAGACTGAAAGAGTCTGAGGTTATGGTAGAAAGCTTTCCTATTGTTCGGGACTCAGGTCTTTCCTTTATAGAATATAAGTTAGGTAATATTCGTTGAGCGAGCACATAGCTATGACATTTTCTTGTTTATATAAAGTTAATCTTTTACAATATAACCGCGTACTGGTCTCCCTTGCAAAAGTCACCAAATTGTCTAATAAAGTACAATTTTATAGAGTTTAAATAGAGTAAAGGATATTGTATAGAGATAGAGAAAAGTAGAAGTCTTTCTATTGAGGTAGAAAAGAACAAAAACTTCTTCTGAGATGGAAATGAATGAAAGTCCCGACTAAGAGAGATAGAAAGGATAAAAGTTTCGCTACTCTCTTACACCCATCGCGTACCGAGGTACATCTAGAAAGGGTTTTTCATCGCCGCCTTGGTCATCTCCGCGTTGTATACGTCCATGATCTCGTTGATGGTGCAGATAGTCTCTTCCAGGACCTTCTTAAGCGAAGCCGAAGGTTTGCCCTTCGCAGAAGTATCCTTGGCCTTGGTATCCATCTCTTTCTTCGTATCTTCAAGAATTTTCGCTGCGCTCTTGAGATCCGTGTCCAGCTTCGACATGGCATCGTCTGTGGTCTTCTTCATGTAGTCATTCCACTGCTTCTTAAGGCCCAGAGATTGGTACTTCTCCCAGCTCTTCTTCTTGGTTTTGTCCTTGGGATCGGTGACGCTGATCTGCTTCTTCTCCAGCTCCTTCTCGAGGCCATCAAGCATCTCTCCCATACGGTCCGCTTGAGTTTTGAGGGTGGTTGACACCCAAGTGTCGCGATGGTAAACGCGCAGGGCGAGAAGGCGCTTAAACAAGGAAGAAGCAATCCTGAAATCCGCCTGGATGTTTGTCTCAGACTTTCCAGACCATCCTTCCACTTTCTTCTTGATCTTAGCGGGATCGACAGGATGCTTGCCGCCCCAGAGACCCTGCTTATTATTGTTGGTGTATTTTTCCAACAACGCAAATTCCGAGGAGTCATGCTCGTATTGTTGCGGGAAGATTGAGGCCAGCCATCGGATGCCTTGGCTGCCCTTTGGGTCAGGTTTCTTTAGCTTCTTGCTGTTGACCTCGTCGACTGTCTGACCTTCCGGTAGCTCGCTAAAGAACTTGAGTGTATATTTGCAAACGTCCAGGTCCTTGGTATTGTCTTCGGGGTCCTTCAACTTTTTCGATGTCGTGATAGACTTGGAGAACTGGTTCATCATTTGACCCTCCAGAACGTGCTCGACCTGGTACTTTCCAAGGTCGCTTTGGGCAGGGAGGGGTATCTCTTTGAAAGTGATGTCGCCGCATGAGGTTGGGCTGGAGAAACCAAATACTTTGCAATTGGCATTGTAGAAATCGGTACTCTTGCCTTTCTATTATCGCCTGTTAGCTGCTATACGAGCGTAGTCTCCAAAAAAGCGGGATTGGGTGAAGTTAGGTTGTAAGCACATACGATAGCAAGCTCCTCTGCATTGGGATAGTTTTTGGTGGAGATTTTCTTATCACACCACTTGAGGTCCTTCCCAGTAGCCCTCTTTTCAAGCACGTGCGACTCGTCGACATCACGCTTGAGGGAGCTGTCATAGGTGAAGTAGCTGGCAATGTCGGTATCGGAGCAAGTGGAAATAGCAGTGCACTTCGCCCCGTTTCGGGAGAAGAGTACGTTTGGATTCCCAGACTGTTGGGAAGCTGGATAGGCTGAACCAGGCCCGGTCAAGAGTGTCGCAATGGCGATGAGTGAGATTGAGCTGTAAAGCATGGTGTACAGTGCTTGAAAGTTTAAGCAAAAAGAGCGTGGAGATTGATGGATTGAAAAGAATGAGTGTAGTGGATGATTCTCGACATTGTGAAGCATTGCATTCCATTATATACATGAACACGATGCAAGGAAACACGGGTTGCTGGGGGCTGGGGGCGGATTGACTGGGGCCAAGATCCAACAGCCCTTTTAATTAAATTGAAGCTATACACTTTCGCGAACGGTTGATCTTGTGGGGTGATTGGATCAACACAGGCGACAGGCGAACTTCTGGGGCGTAAGGATCTTTTCTGGAACAACATGAGTGAGATACTGGGGTGATATTCTGGGGTGAGATGCTGGGGTGAGAGGCTGGGGCGAAGTATTGGGGCGAAATGCTGGGGCGGAAGGACCTTTTCTGGAATGACATGAGTGAGATGCTGGGGCGAAAAGGTGGGGCGAAAGAACATAGTAGTTAAACACCAGCCTAAAAGAAGAAAGTAGCTCTGTCACGTTGCAGAATGGCCACCTCGGAGTATGTAATCAGTAAGCGAAGCGAGATTGTAACTTTAAATAGCCCCCACACCTATTCAAGTCGCTTCCATCCACCTTCGCCAACCATGGAGACCCTTCCCCAAGAACTCTTTGACACCATCGTCTCCCTCGTCTGCGAACTTGAGGAATCTCAACGACTACCATCTCTCGCAACCGTGTCTAGGCGATGGCAGCATTTCATCGAGAGTCGCACTTTCCGCGCATTGCAGCTGGACAGCAGTCAGCTACCCGAACTTGGTAGCCGTTTCTCCGGGCTGCTTGGTCATCGCGCTGCCGTCGTGACTGAGATCACTTGCGATATGGTGCTCCCTTCTTGTGGCGACGACGAAGTGCATGAGCGAGAGACAGAGCAAGATGTCTGGAATTATAGCAGAGCAATATCGCGGCAGCTGCATGATATCTTCGGCTTTCTCCTCATCTTAGAAAAGGCACGGAGCCATCGCAAGGGCCCTCCTGTTGAGTTATGTCTATGGACCGTTAAAGCTCCCACCGACATGGACCTCCAGAAGCAAGACCCGGACCGATTTCATGACGAAGAACACACGGACGGGTGGCAACAGAGGGGCTGCGCTGACTGGTACTGGAGTAGGAGGTGGCGGTACTCCGTCCACGAGCTACTGGCCAAAGAAGCTGAAGCCCTACCTACGATAAGCTGCATCACGAGATTCGCAGTTTATAATGGCTCAAAGCAAAGACAGCTTCGTTGCGGAGATTGGGTACGCATTGCCATGAAGTTCCTACATTTGGAGCACTTGAGACTTGAATTCCGCGAATACCGCGCAAACGGAAAGAGTCTAAGAAGATGTGTAAGAAAAGGTCAGTAATCCTTTGTCTTCTTTTACAATTGTTATCTTACATACTCCAGATTTCGCTGATTCCCTACTCGACTTGGCAAATCGCTACCCGTCTACACTTGATAAAGTATCAATAACGCGAAACTTTTCGGACACAAGAGACGAAGCCATGCCCCAGATTGACTACGGCCATGATGATAATGGCAACGATACGCTCAGCAAAGCGTTATGCAGGCTAGGCGAGAAGTGTCCTAGACTGGAGCTCGAGGGTCTCAACATTGCACCAGAGCTCCTCTGGCCATCAGCATGGTCAAACATCAAAACAGTCGATATCGAATTTGACCCGATCGCGCCTAACGGGGAGTGGTACTTTACCACAGCCGACGGGAGCGACATTCCACCCCCAGAGCCTGAGGCTGAAGAACCCGAGTTTAGCGATGACGAAGAGCGCGCGCTCTATGAAGAGTTCAATCGAAGCTCGCCCACACCTTATGAGCTCGGCCCTGCACGACCCCCTAGCGAAGCCGAGTCCTGGTGCACCGACGAAGAGGACCCTAACTTCTGCGAGCGCAGGTACCGGGTCCGTCCATATAACAGGACAATCAATCCGCTGCTGATCGCCGCAGCCAAAGCTGTGCGCTGCATGCCGTTGCTCGACTGGTTCTCGATGCATACTAGGAAGCAGCTCAAGCCAATCCCATCGGACGATAGGAACAAGCTTGGAGATGAGCGAAAGTTTGCTGTTACCTTTGTGCCAAAGGGCTCTGGCTTGCCTGGTCTGAGGTATAGCTGGGAAGACAAGGCGGAGTTGGCATGGGACGCGCTGCCAGAAGGCGTATGGAGGCCCGACAAGGAGGTGAGAGAGGAGTGGGCGAAAACGGTTGGCGAGGAGGGATTGGTGTGTTATATCTACGGCGATAAGTGGGGACGCGGTGGAAGTTTGAGGTGGGATACCCTAAGCTGTGAAGAGTTTCTACAGAAGGATTAGAGAAATGGTGGCTTGAAGTTGGCCATTACAAAAGGGAACAACTAGACATACTGGAGGAAATCCAATACTACGTCGTGTCCTGGAGTTACTCTGAAAAATGTCCGTAAAACGAAACGAGTCACACGACGTTGATCCAAGTATTGAAGCTGTGAGTTTCCACCAAATTATTATAAGATGGCTGCATTAAAATCAACCTAGTGGTTATGCAATGAAGTGTACACCATCCGTTAGACCTAGGGCGATGGCTGATAGACAACTCATAAACTATGCCAAGCTGGCGGCAGAGTCGGAACAACTGTATCGTGGAAACTCGTCTTAGAGCCCGATAGACGCAAGGAAAGCGGCAACGGAAGTGTCTATGCTCGAAAGGCTCTTTGAGAAAGTTTCTTGAACAGCTTCTTGCAGAGTGCGGAATGGCCCAGTCTGACCCTCTTACTAGGTTGGACCGAATGGACGATTACCCAATTAGGCACGTTCACGTCTGGGCTAGTAAAGGGTCAAATGGACTCCCGTCGGGCTAAACAGCACTGAATCACGAGGCCTTAGCATGGTGTTGAGCGAACAGGACGTATTTATCTACGTGCGCGCGCCGCGCGCGTAGTGAAGAGCCGAACGTCGGAACGAGAAAGTATAGGGAAGTTATACTAACCTAATTAGGCTACTGCCGCGCGTCTGCTACGCAATACCGTACGCAACACCACTCGATTTCAGCAATATCACGCGTTTTCTCCCAACGCCAGGCAATAACCTACGGATATCTACCATTAAAGCGTCTATACGTTCTCTGATTGGCCCGTACTGGTCGGGGCCGGGTTGTGCCTAATTTGATTCAACCGACCTGGGACTAGTAAGGTTACTAGGCATGATCAGACCGACTTCATTTTTTACTATACTACTCCGCACTATGGCTTCTTGACACGCTCAACAAGATCTGGTCTTGACCTTTGCGTCTCTAAGTCCGATGCTCACTGACGAACCATAGCGTTGGGCACTCTGAGAAGGCAAAGTTACGGCACCCACGGCTTTCCAATGCTTTTCCAAAACAGCGTTGTTCGAAACGTTGATATGGAGATGTTGAAGAGTGCTTGAGAAACTTGAATTTCAAGAGATTAGCGGCCTTGTAAATATCGGCCAAACGTGTTGTCGCTGCGGATTTGGGCTCTTCTTTGTTCTTCGCTGCACCTTGTAGAAACAAATAGATGCGTTCGTCCGAATGTTTCTTTGTTAATTAGCGGTTATTTCTCTTTTAAATCTGGGATACCAATTGTCTTTCATAAGTATCTATCCGTCTTGGGTTAAGGGAAACTGCTTTATATAGTAATAAATCTAGCAAAGAAGAATCTATGACAGATACTTAAGACAAAGGTACTCCCATGATAAAGCAAGATCGGTGTGGCCATACATTGCATCAAAGTGATTGAGGCAACACTACATCACTCCATTTTAACTCTGTGAATGCTCTATCGTCCGTCACAGTGAAACGAACCTCACCGTGCAGTGAGCGCACCAACAAGAACGCGCCCTCGTTTGGTGGGTGACCGCTCTCGGTGACATTAAAACACGTAAATCACCGCCAAATCACTGTCTTCCAGGAACCCATCTGATTGGTGCGCTCGCTATACGGTGAGGCTCGTTTCACGGTGACAGACGTTACGCTTTCGGGACGTGAACATTTGTATCCAAGTCTACGAAACCTTCTATACTGCAAATAATCATACACATTCGTTCACAAAATCAAGACAACTTCGTAATAAGCTTCCCCGTATTCCCGCCCTCAAACAACTTCATCCACGTTCTTGGCACGTCCTCAATACCCGCCTCAACAACAGTCTCACTCTCCCCGCCAAGCACAATCTTCCCCTCCGTGGCCGCCTGCACAAGCTCTTCCATCATCTCCGTAAGCTTATGCGCCCAATCCAGCAGAATAAACCCACGGATATTCAAGCGCATCGAGACAATCTCGAACCAGTTCTTCAACTGCGTAGGCTCGGTCGAGTTATACGTCGAAATAGCGCCGCAGATAGCCATACGGCCCTCCTTCTTCATGCGCGTGAGCATCAAGTCCAGAATCTCGCCGCCGACATTGTCGAAGTACGCGTCGACGTAGCCGTCGGTCGCGCGCGCCAGGTCCGCCGCGAACGTTGCGCTCTTGTAGTTGATGCACTCGTGCGCGCCCAGGCTCCTGACCCACGCGCACTTGGCCTCGCTGCCCGCAATGCCGATGACGCGCTTGCACCCGATCAGCTTCGCCGCGATCTGCACTGCCATGGAGCCGGTGGCGCCCGCCGCCGCCGACACAACAAACACGTCGTCCGGTTGCACGGCCGCGATCACCTTCGTGCCGTAGTAGGCCGTGAGGCCCGGGCCGCCGAACGCGCCCAGGAAATGCGTGATGGGGAGGCCGGCGACGCCGTCGGCGGGGATGAGCTGGCAGTCGGCGGCGTTGAGGATGAGGTGCTCGCTCCAGGAGCCCAGGTGCAGCGTCATGACGAGCTGGCCCTTGGGGATCGTGGCGGCGGTGGACTCGACGACTTCGGCGATGACGCCCGACCGCATGGGCGTGCCGGGTAGCACGGGCGGGACGTACAGCCGGTCGTTGGTCACGGTCGAGTGGAAGAAGCCGCGCTGGCCGGGGTCGTTGGAGAAGTACTTGACGCGACAGAGGACTTGATCGTCGTCCAGAGGCGGCAGTTCCGTGGTGACGAGCTTGAATGTCGGCGAGGGGCCGTCAAGGACGGGTTCGCCGGTGGGCCGGTTTTCGAGGATCCATTGCTTGGTGGTGATTTTTTGAGACATGGTGATGAAATGACGATCAAGGAACCGACGGGGTGGTAGTAAATTCAAGAGAAGGAAAGGATGTTCAGGCGGCAACACGCTCCATCGGTATTTATACGGTTCGGACATCGTGAATCTTGAAACACGTGGGACGGACGGCCTAGCCCGTTCAAAACGCACTAGCCACGTGGCCAAAGCGGCGAGTCACTCCACGGGGAGCCTGAAGTTTTTGACTATCCGCGGCGTTTGGACCCTTGGGGTAGCGGGATATTATGCGGGGTGTAGCGCTCAAGGGGAAGGAGATCGTTGTGGGGTAAAAAATGTCATCGCCGCGGAATACCTATGTTCATGTAATTGTACTAACGTCGTTCACCCATAAACAAACCTCACCGTTCAGCGAACCCCACCAATTAGAGCATGTTGTGTGGGTCTCTTCCGCGCTCTCATTGGCGGGGTTCGCTGAACGGTGAGGTTTGTTTATGGGTGAACGACGTTATAAGAGTTAATGAACCACGACCCGGAGGGTTCAGAAACTAAAGTGAAGACACCGATACCAATTCAACTTAGATATGCCTACCTACACACAGTATAAGACTTTCAAACCGACGAAGTTGACGGAGGTGCACATCGGCGCAGGGCTTTCGGGCATCGGCCGCTCAAGGAGTGCTTCGCCGGCATTGAAAGGCGACGCAGGAGATGTAGGTAGCCGTCCAACAAGGCTTGCTGATGCTCGCCATGCTTGAGATCATCATCTCATATCGTCGAATTTCCCATGGCTCGGTTTCCTGCAAGGCTTGAGCAATGAATGTCGACGAACAATGTCCTGCGCAGGACGCGATGGCATTCTTTCCATATCCCGTATAACAATTGAATGCTTTCGAAGTCTTTATGCTGATTCTTCAGGACCACAGGTGACGTTCAGGGCCGGCTAAAAGGAAGAAAGGAGCACTCCGGTAAGCCTGCCGTGTAACATCGGGTAATTGCTGTCCAGCTACCCGGTAGCGAATGATGGGGATCTCTGCGGATGACCTGCAGGTGTCAATAACGAATCGCAGCAATTAAACAGACGCGCTTCAAGGGCATGAACTTCATCGGTTAATACTTGCAGGCTAGGACATGCAGGGCCTGCTGACTGCATTTTCAAAAAAAGGTGAAGAGGATCATGGAGTGGCGCATCCTTCTAAGCAGCGAAGTTGGCATTGCACTGCATCCCTTAACAGCGAGAACCACGTCTTTAGCAGGATCGTGATGAAGTGTTGAGGAGCGTGAAACGTGTGAAACGCCGAGTTGGACATCCATCGGCATTTGACGGCCGCAGCGGCAACGCGGCAAGGTCGGCGCCGCACCATCGGCATCGTCGGCATTTCCGCAACGGATTGCCTGGATCGGCACGCTGCCGCAGACGCAACGCAGCAAAACAGCGCAGCGGCGAAGGTCCAATCGGCAACGTGGTTCGCCCAGGCACCGCATGGCGGGACTAAGACTGGACGGCGGCAGCCCGCACGGTACCCACCCCGGCCTCCATCCCCTCTTTTGTGGTATGGCTGGCAGGGTCCTGCTGACTGCAATTGCCTCAACGAGCGCGGCACTGTGTAGGCAGGCCTCGAACTACAGATGAGTTGTCATTCGATGCGTCCGTGGCGACGGGATGCTGCGGAAGCAGGACGACATCGGACGAAAATGAAGTGCATCAAACGTTGATGAGGAGAACATACTTAAAGGCAGCAGAGCGTCTTGATCAAGTTCCTCACCAGCTCACATCGTCTTCACAGCCTCTCAAGCTTCTACTATCATCCATCCCACTCTCGAGTGACCACCTCTTTCAACATGACTGCTCCTCTCACCAAGTTCAAGGCCGCCGCCGTCACCTCCGAGCCCGGTGTAAGTCGTCCTCGATAGTAGTGATAAACACTCAATGCTGACACGACGCAGTGGTTCAACCTGGAGCTCAGTGTCCAGAAGACCATCCACTGGATCAACGAGGCCGGCAAGGCGGGATGCAAGCTTGTTGCGTTCCCCGAAGTCTGTACGTTGCCTCAGGTGGTTTGTTTGCGTAGTAGCCGTTGCTGACGTCTCCAAGGGATCCCGGGCTACCCCTACTGGATGTGGAAGGTCAACTACCAGCAGTCGCTGCCTATGCTCAAGGCGTACCGCGAGAACAGCCTCAAGGCCAACTCTGAGGAGATGCGCCGCATCCGTAGGGCCGCGAGGGACAACAAGATGTGAGTATAACGTTCCTCCTTGGCGACGCGACGGCCCGTCTGACATGCAGCAGCTTCGTCTCGCTCGGTTTCTCCGAGATCGACTTCGCCACCCTGCACATCTCGCAGGTCATGATCGACCCGGCGGGCGAGATCATCAACTTCCGCCGCAAGATCAAGCCCACGCACGTCGAGAAGCTCGTCTACGGCGATGGCGCCGGCGACACCTTCCAGTCCGTCGTCGAGACCGAGCTCGGCCGCGTTGGCCAGCTCAACTGCTGGGAGAACATGAACCCCTTCCTTAAGTCTCTCAACGTCTCTGCTGGCGAGCAGGTCCACATTGCCGCGTGGCCCGTCTACCCCGAGGCTGCGACCCTCAAGTACCCCGACCCTGCCACCAACGTTGCCGATCCCGCCTCGGACCTCGTCACGCCCGCGTACGCCATCGAGACGGGCACCTGGGTCCTGGCTCCCTTCCAGCGCGTCACCCAGGAGGGTGTCAAGATCAACGCGCCCCCCGGAGCCGAGCTCGAGGACTGCGCCATCTACAACGGCCACGCCCGCATCTTCCGCCCCGACGGCACGTGCGTGTCCAAGCCCGACAAGGACTTTGACGGCCTGATGTTCGTCGACGTAAGTGCCCCTCTCTTGAAGATGATGATCCTGATCAGCGCTGACATTTTCTCTCCAGATCGACCTGAACGAGAGCCACCTCACCAAGGCCCTCGCCGACTTCGGTGGCCACTACATGCGCCCCGACCTGATCCGTCTGCTCGTCGACACGCGCCGCAAGGAGCTCGTCACCGAGGTTGACCAGCAGGGCGGCATCGGCGTCTACTCGACGCTGGAGAAGGTTGGCCTGCACCTGCCGCTCGACCCTCCCAAGGAGGAGCATCCCGGCCTTGTCGGCGCGACCAAGCAGACCAACAACGGCAAGCCCGACGCGGCCAAGTTTGGCGGCAAGATCTAAGTGGGATGAAAATTGTATTTTTAGGAGAAGAAAAGTAGGAGTAGAAAACACCGCTCATTAATTGAATGTAAATACTTTGATGATGAAGGGAGAGAAGTGAGGGGAAGTTGACATTGAAATAAAGATCTCACACTACCTTTGCCCGGTTTCAGATCCATGCCTCTGCCCACTGCTGCACGTCAGAAACTAGCAGAGGGCGAAAAAAGAAAAGGAAGGGAGAAAGGACGAGGGTGGCTGATGACACGGAAAGAGCAAGCGAGCGACTGGACATGACTCGCGCCGTATCGATAAGCCTCGGTCGCATCTCCAAGAGTGTCAGGGCGTTCGAGAGCCACACACAAACAACACAACACCCGAATCTCACCACCATGCGTCGTCCGCGGGACGCTCTCAGCGAGATCCAACCGTCGACGCAGGATGAAGCGCAAACACGCCGCCGCCGCCGCCGCCGCCGTTCAGCAAGCACAGCCTAAGCGCCGCCGCAAGGACGAGACCCCGCCCGCCTGCAGTCTCCAAGAAGGACAGCTGCAGGTCCTCAAAGGCGAAGATGATGCCTCCTCCCTCGCCAGTCACATCTCCACCTGGCTTCAACAGCTTCCGCAAAGCCCCTCTCCCTCATCTTCTCCCTCTCCCGCCGCCAGCATGCCCGCCATCTCCGACGCCGCGAGCACGTCGACGCGCCCACTACGCTCCGCCGACTCCGTATCGCGCGGCGGCTCGACGACGAACCGGTCACGCTCCTCGAGCCCATCGAAACTGTCGCCGCAAAACTATCGCGCGCAGGTGCTGGATCGGGTCGGAATTCGCATCGACGTCGAGGTGCCGGATGAGGGGCTGGAGCAGTTGCTGCCACCACAAGGCGATGCGGAAGTGCGCACGGTCGGGCAGGAGCTCTACGCGGGAGCTCGGGCGCTGTTGGAGCGCCAGACGGCCAACGAGGTCGAATGGGCCGGCTTGCTCAACACGGCCATTCACAGCTTGATGCAGGAGCAGCCGGACCAGCTGATCTGCCTGCCGAACAGAGGTAAGATGGATAGTATTTCGCGCGCGCTGCCAAGACGTCGCTGTCGCTGACCGCCCGGCAAAAAGACTGGCAATCCTGCCTCAAGCCCGTCGCCCTCACGCACAAGCTCACGTCCGGCCTCCCGCAAAAACGCCACCCTTCCGACTACCCCTCGCCCGACCAGAGCCAGTCGACGACGGCCGCCGCCGCGCCCTTTGCCAACCAGCCGCACCTCCCGCCGCCGCAGCAGCGCCTGAAGCTGGAGCCGGCGCCCGCGCGCCTGCAGCCCAAGACGCCGCGCCCGGACCTGACCATCGGGCTCAATGACAGCGACGCGAGCTGGGACGCCGACGGGGAGGTATGGGCGCGCGCCGGCCTCCGCGGCCGCGATGTCAAGGGCATACTGGCCGACCTACAAGCGACGGGCACCGGCGGCGAGGACGCCGCAGCGGCACCGCTGATCACAGACCCGTGCACCGCGTCGCCCAGCGGGCTGCGCTTCCCGTTCCTGGTCGTCGAGGCCAAGTCGGGCGGCAGCGCCAGCATCGCCGACGCCGAGAATCAGGCTGCTGTGGCGGGGACGTGCGCGCTTAAGATCTTGCGGAGCGTGGCGGGCGAGCAGCAGCAGCAGCAGGACGCAGCTGCGGACGCGGACGCGCCGTTTAAGATGCGCATGTTTTCGCTGACGACGGAGGGGCCGACGCACGTGCTGTGGGCGCACTACCGCAGCGACAGCAGCGAATGGGCCATGGTCTGGCTGGGCGCGTACCGCGTCACGAACCGGCGGTCGGCGGGCGAGCTGGTGGCCATTGTGGCGCGGATATTGCGCTGGGGCGCGCGGGAGTTTAGGGATTGGGTCAGGGCGAGCGTCGTCCGGTATTTGGGGCGGATTTCTGCTGGCGATTGATGAGGGATCTGTCAGGGTCGATGGCCGAATCTTGCTACTCTGTTCCATTCTAGTCTCGGATGGTCTTTCTTCCTTATGAAGCTGGTATTGGTGTTGCCACCAATAATGTCGGCAGACAAGTGCTCTCTTGTCTCATCGACATGAGTACTCTTTTCGGGCAGGGCCAAAGCGCCCCAATATCCCAGTAGCCCCAGACCCGCAGCCACAACCTCGCAGCCCGCTCGACGCGCCGCGCGGGAGCCGCCAAGGCGGCGCCTCGCCAGTGCCGCGCGCGGAGTGACATCGGCGAGGACAAGCCGCGGGCTTGATTGGATTGGATTGGTCGGGGGCAGATTCCGGCGGGAAAAGGGAGACGACAGGAACCCAGAACCTACTCTACTCCCGCCTGCTACTCGAGTACCTATCTTGCAGGAGGACGCGGGCCGAGACGGGCGCGACTAGAAGAGGCGGTAGGTACCGAGTAGGTGGAGGGGGGATTCCGCATCGAGCCTGGCGTGCCAGAGGGCTAGGAAAGGACAGGTGAAAGAAAGATGGGAAGAAAAACACAGCCACGCCCCAGGCCGCCTTCCCGCCAGGCTGGAGACGAGATGATGATGCTGTTAGGGCAGCTGCCTAGGGCCGCGATAGGCGCGGCGGACGAGATAGAGTTTGGGGCTACCAGGGCTAGAGTACCGCTTGCTCGGGCGGCTCCTGCCGTCAACGGCTACAGCTGCCGGATGCGGGGGGCCCAGAACGAACGCACTTCCAGCCTGCACTGCCTCCTGGGTTCTCTTGCTCCTCCAGAGAGAGCGCACACGCGACCGCGGCGGCCTGGACCCGACACGGGCCCGCCTCCTCTCCCATCCGTCGAGGTCCCGTTGCTGATCCGGCAGTAGTCGCCCACAGATCGTCGGTGCAGCGGGCTAGCAGCGCCATCGCCGAGGCTGTGGCTGCGCTTCTGCACGCCCGCCCGGCTTGCCGCAGATGAAGTGGCCTGACGAGACCATGTCCATGACGATGCGAGGAGATTGCCGAAGCGGCTTCACGGCCCGTGAAGTATGTAAAGTGAGCGTGCCGTTGCCGCGAGGTGTTGATGAGGCTATGGAGGCTTGTCTGTCCCGATTGCGGCAATACCAGCAACAGCAACAGCAACAACAACGGCATCAAAACCTCTGCGGTGCACCCGCTATCGTACACGCACACTCACACGCACACGCGATCCGCATCCCCTCGATGGCGCCCGCCCCGCCGGTGCAGCAGCCCAGCAAACGCGCCTTGGCCCTGGCCCCGCCACTGCGACCCGAGGGCCCCTCGGCGGCCGCGAGCATCGTCTCGGCAGTCGTGTCGCTGGTGACGCTGTGTGCGCTGACGGTGTGTCTGACGCGGCGGGCGCAGCGGTGGCGGCGGCTCTCGGTGCCCGGCTGGGTGCTGCTGGCCTTCTACTTGGACTCGATACTGTTCGTCGTCGTATCGGCGACGCTGCGGTCGGCGCGGTTGGGCTCGTCGCGCGGACTGTGTCAGGCTGGGATTATCGTGTGTGAGCTGCCTCGCCTCTTGCCTACCTACCAACCTGTTCTTTTGTCGGAGGTGTGAGCGAGTGCGTGGGAGCAACATGTCTCTAACCGCGTCCCCGGACAGGCCTCTTCTTCTACACGACCGGCAAAGTCCTCATCTACTACTTCCTCGTCGAGAAAGTGCACGCGGTGCATCACCCGCGCCGCCCGCGCCGCCGCAACAAGCTCTACCTGTTCAACTGCGTCAGCGCGCTGCTGCCGTACGCCGTGCTCGCCGCCCTCGCCGTGCACTACCGCGTCGGACACCTCGACGCCGACGTCCCTGGCCTTTGCGTGCTCGGTCTGCGGAGACCCGCGCTCATTCCCCTCATCGTCGTCGATGTTGCCCTGTTCGGCTACCTCACCGCGCTGTTCCTGTTTCCCCTGCGCCGCCTCTACTCCTGGGACGACGGGCGGGGCGCGCTGCGTGCGATTGCGCGGCGGACGTGCGTCGGGAGCGCGGCGGCGCTGGCAGCGACGACGGCAAATGGTGTTGTGATGTTGGTGCTTGGTGGGGAGGCGGGGTGGGTGTGCTTCTTGGCGTGCAATCTCGACAGTGCGTTGGGCGTCTTGCCTCCGCGTTGTAACAAATGGTTAACTGACGATTGTCTTGCGCAGTTCTTTCCTCGGCGCTCGTGCTCTACTGGGTCACGTCGACGGACGAGCACAAGGACAGCAGCGACAGCGTGATGGCGACCACGGCCGCTGCTGCCGGAGCGCCTACTATCAAGCAGGTTGCGGGTGGCGATTCGGTGCGCTCGTCGTTGGCGGGGGAGACGGAGCGGTCCATGTCGGATAATTTCGACTTTGGGCTCGGTGGGCAGCGGTATCCGGAGCAGGTTGTTTTTAAAACGGATGTTTTCCGGTGAATTGATGAAGACGGCCGAGAGTTGATGGATGTTTCGGCCTCAGGCAGCCGTTGACGCGTGATGACGCGTGCAAGTCGTGACTTGGCCCAAGCTTCAATGGGCTGGGAAAGAGCGAAAGAGTGACGACAGAGGGCAGCAGCACCTTCCTTCTCCATCGCCGTGATGGCGCCCCAATGCCAAGCCCTGCATCTCTCCGATGAGCGGCGCTGCACCGAGCCCGCCACCAACGTCAATGGCCTCTTCTGCCACTTCCACGCCCGCCAGGTCATGGGCCTGTACAAGGGCTACAAACGCCGAAACAAGCAATACGACGACCTCGTCGCCAAATCTCCCGCCAATCTCGCCGACCCAAACACTCCGCTGAGCAAGGTTTCCTTCGACGACGCCAAAGACGAGAAAACCCTGCGCCAGCTGCACCACCACCTCTTCCTCCGCCACGCCCTGCTCGACCGCGTCATCCGCGCCCGCAAGCTGCACCACTCCCGCTTCTACGCCCTCGAGCTCGACTACGGCCACCACCACTTCCTCGACCATCTCTCCAACCAGAAACACACCGTCCTGCGCGCTCTCGAGCGCCTGGAACGCCGCACCGCCGAGGTGTTATACGAGAAGCAGAAGTGGTTCAAGTGGGTGCGCGCGCTCGAGGACGACGAGGAGAAGGAGCGCGATGCCGAGAAGAAAAAGGTCAAGCAGGAGGCCGCCCTGTTCAAGCGCCATTGGAAGGAGGTCCAGGTCCGTCTTCGCGAGCTGCGGGCCAAGGAGGATGAGAAGAGGCAGGCCGAGTTCCTTGACAAGGCGTGGCAGGAGCGCAAGGCTCTGGATGAGGAGTCGGCCGATGAGGAATGGGATCCCATCGACGACGTTCTTGAGGATGAGCGTGGCAGCTACATCGATCTCATCAAAAAGTTCCTCTGGCAGGAGACGGTCATGGATGCCATGGAGAAAAGCGGCCAGGTTGAGGAGCCGGTCAAGGACGTCTCCAGCGAAGCGGCTCCCGCAGAGCCTGCCAAGAGCAGCGAGAGCGCGGCTCTCACGAAGAACGCGAGGAAGAAGGCCAACCAAAAGGCGAAAAAGGCCGCGGTCGTCGAAGCCGAGGGTCCCAAGCCTAAGCCTGGCGAGGTCCACATCGAGACCGCTGGAGAGATGCGCCAGCGCTTGAGGGAGGGCGTTAAGGTCAAACACGCCTATGGTTGGCACGTTCAAGGGAGCGTCGAGAACCCACCGGAGCTCGCCGACAAGACGGCGCCCATCCCCGACGACGAGATCAACCGACTGCTCGAGGAGATTTCCGAAATCAAGCAGCTCCTCTTCTGTCGTATCTTGCTGTCTCACGCAGCGCTTCTTCCAGCGGCTCTCCGCGCAAGCAGCATCGAAGACTTCATCAAGGACGAAGAGGTCACAAACACCGATCTCCGCGATCTTGCCTTGAAGATGGAGCAGCCCGATCTGCAGGCGCTGCGTGACGCTTGCGCGGACCTCGGCCGCAATGATCCTGAGGAAGACGACGATGCCGACAAGCAGGTGGCCCCCCAAGCACAAACGAGCGTCTGGCGCCCCATGTTCAACAGACTCCTTCCCGAAAGCTGGCAGTCGCAGCGGGAGAAGGAGATGCCTGCCACCCGACAGAGATCTATGCCCGATGCCGCAGGGCAGGACACGGTCGACTTTGGCCAAATCGACGACGCGGGCCAGTATCGCATCAAGCGGATCCGCGTCAAGGTCTGTGGCAAGTGGATCTACAACTATCCCAGCGACAAGGCAATGGCGCGCGGTGGCTGGCTGCACTTTTCCATCATCGCCAAGGAATGCAGCCTGTTTGATGCGGTGGAGCTGTGCAAGAGTTGGGACGAGTTCTTCGAGCTGAATATCCTCTCGTGCTACCAATACTTCCCCGCCAGCCACTGGTCCCTGTGGGTCGGCGATCGCACGAGGCAACAGCTGTTGATGCTGGCAAGTAGTTCATCACCTCCGCTTCATTTGTACGCTAACGAGAGCAGGGCTTCATCCCGTACCAGCAAATGTCGCTGTCCGACAAGATGACGATGCATCATCAGACTGGGGCTCGGTCATCGGCCCGCCGCTCGCACAAAATGTTCGAGACGCGCAACTTCATCTGCGCCAACCTCAAGCGCAACGATCCCGTGAGCCGACGCGTCATTCAGTACATGGCCTTGGAGGCTTCCAGCATGGTGCTGCTCGTCCGGGACGGCAAGACGGGCGAATTCATGGTGCGGCCTCCCGAGAGCGAGCTTTGGTTGATGCGCGAGAAGAGCGGCATAGGGCGCGCCACGAGAAACACGTGGAACGTCATCAAGTCGGTTGGCCCGGAGTTTTTCGAGGAGATGGAGAAGCACCGCAACTGGCACTTTGGCTTCAAGGACTACTACGACGTCGTCATCTGGGACACGGAACCGGGCAATCATTTTAGCTGCCTGTACAACAGCATCCAAACATGCCTCATCAAAGCTCATCGCATCAGTTCCGGTGTCGACATGTACCGCTCCGCTGAGCCTGTGTTGAGGACGATCGCTCGCGACCCAACCACCCAGCGTGCCAAGGACATAAAACCCGACGAAGTGGGCAAGATCAACAGCATTTGGGACGACATCAACAGTCCCACCCACCGGCTGTTCTATTGGAACCTCGGCGCGGACGAAATTAGCATGAAGGAGGCAATGCCAAATGCCTGGCGCTACACGGAAGCGGACAGGCTGGAAGATGAGGTGCTGTTCCCGGAGGAGTTTGGTCTGACGGAGGTGGGGGAGGTGGATCGCAATAAACTTCTTGCAGATCAGCGGCGCGGAGGGAGAGGTTACGACTTTGAACACAACGGCCCGGACTTTATGAGGTTTGTTAACGATTTGGATACCGATGATGAGCTGAATGATGACGAGAGAGAAGCGACGAAGCGGGAGTTTGAGCGAGGCACGAAGAGGCTGGAGAAACGTGGAGGCCGCCGCTTGGGATGGGAGGAAATTGAGGAAGATGAAGATGAAGACGAGGTATACGATTTCGAGGATGACAAGGCGGAGCACAGCGGCGATGCAGACGAGATCAGCATTGACACCGGGTCAGATTGGGAAGACGAAGAAGATGAAGACTATGATTTTGAGGACTATGGCCTCAGCGCCATGGTTATTGCGAACAAACAGATAGCGTCGGGCATTCCCTACGGAGGAAGGCTCGAAGACGGCCGCACGTACAACCCGGAACTCTTCAAGGGCATGATGGAGGCGCTCACGGATTGGACGGACCCGGAAAACGAGCCCATGCCACTCGGTTTCCGGCCGGATGGAAGCAGAATGACCATCGAGGAGCAGGACGAGCAGATTCACGGCCAGTTTATGATTCACGTCGAGCGGGAGGGGGCAGCGTGTAAGTCGAGCAACTGTGCCATGCCTGTGGAAATGCTAACCTGAAAAGCTTTCAAGGAACACTGGCACGCAGCCGACCTCGAGCCCGGCGCGCAGGAGCGCTATCGCGAGGCGAACAGTCTCATTGCCGCGTACGAGAAGTGGTGCAAGCAAGAGGGGCCGATCGACCTGAACACGATAAAAGCGACGCGCTTCTTCAGGCTGTTTGCCTGGCTGGGCGTCAGCCCCGAAGACCACCGCCGCGTGCACCGCGACATGCACCGCGCCGAGACGATGATCGGGCTGTTCATGGACGACGAGCGGGCGGGCTTCCTGGCCTCGGAGGCGGGCAACCCCTTCGCCGAGTCGAAGCTCTTCGACCAGGACGAGCGCTCGCACTGCCCGCCCGACCGCCGCTCTTCGCACTCAAACAAGTACCGCCCGAAGGTGCACTGGGCGGCGTGGGACGCCATCCTGGATCAGCACATTGCGTGGCGCCGGGACGAGGGCATCACCACGCCTGAAGATCCGTACCCCGACGCGTGGAACCTGATCGTGCGGCCGACGCTCGCGCACTTCTACAAAGAAGGCATCGTCTGCCCCTCCTACGACCGGGACGCGAACGGGCTCGTCGTCGTGCTCACGGAGCCACACCGTCCGGACAAACCCGACGTCTTCTTCGACTGGCGCGACACGCTCAAGATCATCCGCATGTCGCCGCACCTGGAGGACCCAACGACACAACCACCGCTACTAGAGCGGGCGCAGCGCTTCGCGGCCGCGAACCCCGGCGCCGTCTTCAGCGTGCTGCGCGTGTGGTCGGCGCCACACTTCTGGCCGCTGATGCTCGGCGCAGACAACCGCGACCCGACGAGCTTCGCCGACGCGGTCGGCCGCGCTTGGCAGTGGAAGTTTATTCCGAAGGACATGCCGTTCTCGGAGGTGTCGATGCACCAGGCGCTCAAGGGGCGGTTGGCGCCGCTGCTGCAGCGGGCGGGCGTCGGTGACGGGAGCGGGAATGGGAGTGGGAGTGGGAGTGGGGGCGCGGGGAAGGGCATGTCGTGGTATTGGGAGGGGGGTGGTGGGCTGAGGAGGGGCGGCGTCGCGTTTAGGAAGGATGTCGTGCTTGTAATGGGCGCGGATCGCGAGGAGTGTAGAGCGCTTAGTGTCGCGGTGGCGTGGTGTATTGGCACGAGGCCGTGGCGCTTGGAGATCGATTTGTGGAAGAGTTGGGTGGGTGTTGGGGTGGGGGTTTTGGAGGGGATGGAGGGGGTGTGGTGGGAGTAGTTGTGCATGGGGTTGGATACGGGTGTGTGGGTTGGGGTTGGAGGGGGTGCGGTATGTTGGTGCGCTTTCTTCCTTTCTTTCTGTTCGCTGTTGATATTTTGGTTGTTGGTTCGGAGTTGAATGTTGGATTTTTTGGCAATCTTTCTTATCCAGTTAATCTTCAGACGCTTCTCTTTTCTCCTCTATTTTTCTTCTTATCTTTGTGACTTGGCTTTATGTTTTGACGACGTGATTGTCGGCTTTGCTACCGCGGGGTTGCTGGTGGTGTTGTGGTTGTTGATTTCTACCGTCCCGAACCTGGTTGTTTGCTTGTCTTTATCTTTCACTTTGTCGGGAACGAAAACAGGCAAGTCGGAACGGCGTATTAATCCATCCACATCGCTGTGGATAAACATTCATTACTACCATACATAGCACAGCATCAAACCACCACAATCAGCCCCGAACCGCCCCTACAACATCCCCCCACGGATTCGACACTATCGATCGCAGGCGCAAACACTCCCGCCCTTACGCGCTTACTCGGCCTTCTGCTTCTGGGTGTAAGAGCAAGAGTTGGGCTCGGCGGCTTCCTGGGTCTGGGCCTTGAACTGGATGCAGTCCGGGTTGTCGAAGCCGCCGATCCAGATGCCGTAGTTCTGGCCGTCGAGCTTGCACGCCATCATGTCCTTGCCGCCGAACTGCAGCTTGCCGTCGGCGTTGACGGCGAATTTGGCGGCTTGCGCGCCCGAGGGGAGCGGCTGCGCGCCCGTGTTGTAGCCGAAGACGCCTTGGCCTGGGTTGTGGGTGTTGCGTTAGCTTTGGGGAGGTGAATGGGGAAGTTGTTGTTTTTGTTTCCGTGCTGTTGCGGGGCAGGAACTTACCCTGCGCGGACGGGTCAACCCACACCTGCTGCGGGGTCGCAGAGGTCGAGTACAGGTACAGCCGGCCCTGGGTCAGGGTGAACTGCGCCGCGTCGGGCGTCTTCTTGTCGCAGCTGGCGTTCTGGCCGTGGTTGAACCACAGGCGCTCCTCGGCCGCCTGCATGGCCAGGCTGTTGACCTCGGTGCCGGAAGCGGCGGCCGTGATGCCGAAGGGGACGCCGTCCTCGATGGCGGCGGCCGTGGTGGCGACGGCGGCGGCAAAGGCGAGGCTCTTGAACTGCATTTTGGTGGTGGTGGTAGTGATTGGAAAGAGTGGTGTTGGTTGTTGTAACGAGTGAGTGTGTGGTGGATGGAGCTGATGATGATAGCTATCGAGCTGGACACCAACACTTATATACACCGCCGCCGTGGCGGTGTAGCTGCGATACGAGCGCAGCGTGTATCATCCCCTTCAACCTCGCGGGAGGGTTTGGCGGTGGTTGTCCGCGCTGCACGCTCCAGCGCCGTGACACGGAGGCGAGCGATCGGCATGGGAATCCTCTATAGGAGGACCTGACATGGTACAATCCCTGGTCTAACCGCCCAAACTAAGTGTGTTTCTCTGACGAGCGCGTAGCGATCAGCCCGGAATTTCTCGGCTACGTCTCCATGGCCGGTCAACTGCCTCCGGGCCTGGTTACAGGATACGAAGTCGTCGCGCCTTACAGCGCTTTGGCCATTGATGTTGAGAAGCGGAAGAGGGACCTGGCGGAGCAGTCAGCCGTTCAGGAAATTCCGATTGTGAGTGGATTAGTCTGTGTTAGGCGTTCTTCGGCGTGCCAGCAAAGTGAAAACGCCTATGAACTGTGCAAAAGCCTCGTCCCAGTTCTATTTCATGAGCTGGTTCTCAAAGACAGGAGACTGATACAACGCCTATAGTACCTCTACACTTTTCGTTGCGATCGTCTGAACGGCGCTCTCTCAAGTCGTTTGAACCTTCCCACTCTCAGGGGGAGAGAATTCGAGCACTGCCGTCTAAACTGGGGAACGGCCCGAATGCAACCTTACATATTCCAGGGCAGAGAAGGAAACAGCCACGTCTTAGGCCTCGATCTGGAAGTGAATGTACATAAAACAGCATTACTAACGCCTACCTGCGGATCTGCAAGGCTGACAGTCGCGTGTCGAATGCTCTCGTAAGAGCTACGCCTGTTAGCTTCATGTTTCTGTTACCTAAAGCTCTCCCCGCAGTAACTACCTAATACTGCGGGGGTTGAGACTGCGCTAGTTACCCTATCCGCAGGCACGCCGCACGCGCCTCCGCCTGCTCTTTCCTCTGCGATTTAGGGCTTAGCTTGTAGCGACGTTCGCTGTGACTTTCCTTGGGATTTACTTCGATGATCTCACCAGATCGAGCAGTTGCTGGGCTCGCTGACAGAGAAATCAAACAAAGAAACATTGTTACAGTACTCTCCAGTTTTGGAAGAATTGAACTATAGCATGACTTGAATTCTTGTTCATGTGGCTTTCATTCATGGCCACATGTATTCAGTTCGCAAATAACAAGGCAGTTTACGTAGCAGAAACTCCGACGGTTCATGGTGGGAGCCTCGCCTTGTCTTGTGGATCGAGCTTCACCTCTTCGTATTCTTCTTTACCCCGGTAACATTGCTATGGGACCGCTGCACAGCTCAGGATGAACTCGAGCATGTGGTTTTAGATTATTATTCTCGAACTCTCTGAACACATCATACGTTTCCAGATACGAGGGCCCATATGCTGAGGTTGCACCCCCTGAATAGGCAGAGGACCACCGTAGTCGCTACGAAGTTGTCGGAGCTCGAGCTGGCTTTCATTTGCACGGTACAGGGGTCAACCATCAAGGTTAATAGCTCATAGTAGTGCCCAGCAGCTTTTTGGTTTATGCAATAGTCTTACGTCGTCCTAAACATATCTCAGCCCTAGGTGATGCCAGGATTGACCTCAGCAATTTCTCATGAGGGTGGCTGGCGATACGAACAGTCTTTGTAATTCCCCACATGTGGGGGCCGAAGTAGACAATCGAGAGGGGAAGTAAGGCAGACTTCGTATAGAAGTGCGATTCATGGCTTGTGAATGCTAAGCGCTTGAGCTCTAATGAGCTTTCTATCTAGGACATGGTAAAAGTCTGGAGAAACTCTAGTTGTTCGATTGGGAGAGCCGTAAACCAATATGTCGTGGCAAAAGACTAGGGCTAGCGCGGCTTGATCTAACTGAATAAAGAAGTCTTTAGCGACACTGAAGCTCTGCCCTTTATAAGGCTGAGAGGATGGACGCTGTCCTGTCGCTACTGACGTGGTTGCATGTCTTTTCGGGCCGAAAGTGGACAGCCCTGTGATAGAGCAACATTGAATGGAAAATGTATTCCTCGCTATTGGTGTTGACTTCGTACCCCTCCTTTTATTTGAAGCAGTTACATGGAATATGGTGCTAGGGTTGTCTTCTTTCACGCTTTGTTCTTGTCTTTATCCTACCTGGCGGTCTAGTACCTTCAGGAATCATCCGATGCCTTGACTGCACATTGTATATTGAATGGAAAACTTTCTCTTTATCTTGTACTTGTATGTAGAGTACCTATCTCCGTAAAATTGCAAACCACTAGTTTGGAGCTTTAAAATACTTTACTGACAGAGCCTACATGATAAATTTGTGACGTTTTGCAAGTTACGACGAGAACCAACCGCTATAGATTGTTGTCAGGCTATATTCAGCCTCATTTGCCAGCCATCTTCTCCGCGCGTCTTTTGTACCTCTAGATATCCTCATATCCAAAGCATACGTTCGCACAATGCTCTGCTATGCGCTTGCCGGTTGCCTCTCTTCCACGATCGTTGGTCACCTCTGCCTAGGCCCGTCTACATAAGCATTCCTCTTAGCAAAACAAGTAACTCTAGGAATTAGAGCGTGGTGCTCCCGCCGATAACGCTAGTCGTAAATAATAAACTTCGTTGAGGGGCTCCAACGAGGGCACCGACAGGAGTGAATTAAGCTTTATATAGATACCCCGATGCTGTAGTACACGGAAATAATTTAATAAATATAATCGACTGGCGACTGCATCTCATTCAGGATACCGCGTAGTCTCTATTAAATATTTATATAGGATCCTTGCATCTATTCGCAAGGAGCCGCGTTGGTCAGCTACGTATTTTATAGCACCGGAAACTTTCACAGATCTGAGCATTATACTAATAGGAAAATCCTCTCCTTATAGGAGTTAAATAAAGTGGTAACGCGGTTTCCTAATATATTATTCGTTGGCTTTGCGAAGTAATACGGTCCTGAATTGTTTACTAATGTCGAATATTCCTATCCTACAAGTATCTTTTTCTAAAGAAGCTAGGTGCCAGATCTCTAGTTTATATCTGGGTTTATCTCTATACTCGTTAGATAGTATACATCACTTCCTTTAGCGTCGATGCTATAGCTTACTAATTATAGCCTAAAAAGGAACTCCGCGCATTTTCGGATAGTATAGCTAGGTACGTTATCTATCCCCCACATAACAAGATAGATAGTTTATAACAGTTCTATAGTATAGGTAAACCCAGTCTATATTACTTATTTTTTAGTCGTGAATAGTTAAATGTTACCCGTTATCCCCTGTCTTATATTATCGAAAGGCTTAAAATATAATATTACCAACCCTGTCTTTAAAAGCACACCGTGCAATTTTCCTCTCGAGAAGGAGATAATCTAAATAAGAAATACCCTAATTGCTAGTAAGCATGCTTCTTTTGTTTGCATTGCTTTCCCTTATAATAGGTAGTGGGAAGTTTCTAATTCGTGGCGGTGGGGTCTAGACACCTTTAATAGAACGTAAATATTATAATATAACGTTGATTACGCGGAAGCAGCATTCTATAACGTTCCATAAGTAATTTAAATATAAAGGAATTTATAAGGGTCGATATAAGGGATCTATAAATTACTGCTAGAAGCCTCTCTAATTAGCGCTCTCGCTATAGAGTACTTCTTCTACTACGGTATTGTATCAGCCGTTCAACAAGCACTACTCTCTATATTGTTTCCCTAAAAGTTATGAAAATGTCATAATACTTGACTCCCTTTATATAAGGGTAGCCAACCTTTTATTTTATATTCTTTGTATTTTCTCTTTTCCGTTTCCTTTCCAAATACAAGAGAAGTGTTATCGAAGTAACCGTGCAAATACCGAAATATTATGACTCCTTATGAACCCCGGATTCATGGATTTTGTTCTCGTGCACCTTTCGAGAATATTTTCTCGCAAATTTCTTATTGCAGCCATCGACGCGACAGGGAAATAATGTAAAAGGCTGTCGATTTCTCTTAGGACATGCTGCTATTTCATGCCTTCTTATATTACCCTTGAGGTCGCGTGTGTTGGATTTAAAAATGTAACCGCAGTATCTGCATGACGGCCGGTCCCTAGGACTTGCTTCTTGGTCTCCTCGAACTTCCGTATCTGATTGAAAATTAGGGAAGAGTTTAGACGATTCTCCAACGAGCGACTTACAGGTGCTTTCTCCAGTCGGGAAAATGTCGATAGGGGCAGGGTTAAGTATGGGTTCGATAGGGGCAGGGTTAAATGTGGTTTCGATTTTGAGGCTGGGACGCTTTGTGCCATAGTGTCCGCCAGAATCGAGTATCTCCCGGTTGTGCATTTGCTCGATACCAGAATCTGTTTCGTCATTTGAAGACCCTGCTTCGGACTCATCATCGGAATCCTCGATATGAGGAAGAACTCCAAGCGAAATTTCCTCCATATGTCTGGCAAAATGGAGCGAGATTTTGGTTCGACCACTTTCTGTCTCCTCAAAGCACAAGGGGCATTTTAAACTCCCCCAGTCCGGTGATAAGCTATGGTTGTAGCCTAAATGAGCTGTCATAGCCTCTATGTCTTCAAAGAAACATGTATCGGACGGACAATCGTCAAAAATACAAGTGTAGGCGAGAATGTCCTGGAAGACGTGTTTTCTATGAAATTTTAGCGAAAAGGAACATAATTCCTAGAGGTATCTCATACCTCCAAGCTTGTGTTCGCTGTATTGAAACACTTCTATTACAGATTTCGCAAGTAAAAGGTTTTCCTTTCCTGCCATCTTCCGGGAGTGGTGGTAGGTGTTTGTGGCTATATTTCGCCCGTTTGGAGAGAATCGTTTCTGCGTACATTGACATTTCTTCGCCGTTGGTGGAGTTTGCTGATGCAGATGTACCGAGTCCAGAATCATGAAATTTTGACTCGTTCTCGATTTCGTGTGCTAAAATATTTTTGTGTTCATTTTCGTCCCTAATTTTTTGGATGCGCTGAAATCGCTCCCAGTTACGTTTTCCTAGAACTTCAACTAATGCCGGCTTGGCAAGTGGGAACCGCGCGTTGATGATCTCCGCATAGTAATGATGTGCGGACCAATCCCGAATGAAGGCAGGAGTTCTCGGCTTCTCGGCAGTCGAGAATGTAGGTATTGGGTCCTCAAGGATGGAGCCTAGGACTTTGAAACGCGCGACTTTTGAATCAAGCATTTCGAAAGCTTCTTCCACGCTATCCATTTCCCCATCAATCGGCTCTTCCCAATCCATATTGTTACTTTTGGCCTTGGAAAGAGACGTGAAGATTTGTGACGTGTCCAGTAGTGCAGCCTGATCGGATGAACATGGAACGTTAACGCGAAGCAAGTCTAGAAACAGTCAGTTTTAACTTTTCTACGTGGTATAAAGGGAGCAATACCGTGACTGAGGAAATCTCCAAGTGAAATAAGGACGGACAAGGTCAGATCGCGATTTTCCTCGGTTTCTTCCAGGATTCTGTCAAGTTCACCTCTTGAAACACCAAAATCAACGTCCCAAAAACAAAGGGTCGCTAAATTATCCTCTAGTTTCTCGTACGATGGACGTGACACTTCAGTTTTCTGCGTAGCTGCAAGAAACAGCTGCAGGAAAATTACGCAACTTCTGAAAAGATCCCTCACAATCCCTGATCCATCCTGCAAGTACTGGTCGCACTCAGATATGTGCCATTGTGTGAGTACATTGTCTTTTGTAGTTGACTTTCGTAGGTCAGCAAGGCTGGTGGAAGCCGCCATATTGTAGCGCAAATAAAAGGCGAGTGTTCGGTGCAAGCTTATGTCCGGCTGTTTTATAAGACGGTGGATTAGGGCGCTCGATTGGAGACTTAATAGCAATAAATTAAGACCTGCAATAACCGTGATGGCAAAACAAGCTTGAAGGAAAAGAACTTTTCGACACAACGACAATGGGGTCGCTACTGCTATTTAAATTGTACGTTCGGTGTGATTACGCAAGGCTGAATGCTCGTGAAGTGGCAGTGCATATATCGGATATCCAATGGAGCGGGGTACCTACGCTGCGCCCTGCTGATATGTAGGTAGGCTGCGCCTTGCTGTTGTGTAACAGTGTAAGATATGCTGCGCCATGCTGACGTGCATCAAAGCGGGGTATACTGAGCCTCATTAAAACCTTACTTAAAGCAGACTGCCAAAGCCAACGCCTGTTTGAACGCAAATCACCCCGTCATGTCTGGAATCGAGGTTGCCGGTCTCGTTTTCGGCCTGGTCCCAATAATCTGTCAAATTCTCGAGTCGTACAGACAAGTCAACGAGCGGATAACAACCTTCAGACGGTACCATAAGGCTGCTGCTGACATTACACTTGATTTTCAGCTGGAGGAACGCGCGTTCCGCAGCGAATGCAAGCATGTGCTTTCGGCAATTGGTTTGGATCAGCAAGAGCTTGCGGATATGTTGCAACACATTGGCGCCAACCAGTGGCAAGATCGGGACATCGAACATCGATTGAACGATCTGTTAGGCGCTGAAACTACCGTCTACGAGGAGCTCGTCCTTAAAATCCGCGAGCAGCTGCGCGAAATAACCAGGGATCTTGCGGCTCTCAGCTCTATTGCGACCCCCGGTTCTTCTGAAGGCTCGTTCCGCCAGTTATGCCACGCTTTCAATGTCTCGGCAAAGGAAAACCGTTATCGAAGGGCAATCAAGAGTCTACAAATCCTCAATGCCAAGTTCCGACGTCTACGAAAACAAATATGCTCCCACGAAGACCGTAGTCCCTTCTTTTCATACACAAATATCCTGAAGTCCGTCCCACAGAACTATTATACGATCCGTCAAGCTTCAAAGATGCTCCACCTGTCAATGGGAGATGCATGGTCGTGCTTGAATAGCTCCCATGACGCCCATCTGGCCAAACTGTGTCTCAATTCAACCGTGGACCATAACCAGGTTAGACTGGATATGGCTATTTCTTGCAGAAAGATAGCAGAACCTCAACTCAAGTACGTCACTCGCTCAGGTCACAAGTTTCAATTATTTAACGGGTTCATCAGTACAGTTCCAGGACCGCCGATCTGGGTTTACGTACAGTCTGTAGCAGGAAATATCTCGATACCGAGATCATCGTCTCCACACACACCACTCGTTACGACACTGATATCCTCTGTCCAAATCGGATCCACAGAACAACCACCACCATCGCCTCAAAGACAGCCTGTAGGCTCAGCATTTTCAGGGGGTATAAAACGTTGCAAAAAAAGAGTCCGGTTCGATAGTAAAGCTTTCAACGACAATGAAAACTTTACTCCCGAACCGAAAGAGAAGAAGCTTACTACCCCTAAGCCTGGATCTACTGAGCAATGCTATGCGATGCTCAACCTTCGGAACACAAAAAGCTTCTGTTGTCACCTTAATCAATCATGTGCATCCCCGGGTGGTTGCAAGCTCACTTGTTTAGGTTTCCTAGAAAGCGGAAACGCATGCAAGTTTGTCTTCTATGATTCCGGGAAGGGTGTCACTGCCGGCAAAAGCCAGCATAAAGAGATGTTACCACTGAATACCACACTAAGCGCACTCTCCCCACTTCAACGGCTTACACTCGCTCATAAACTGGCTTCTACGGTGCTACAATACCACTCGACTCCGTGGCTATCCGACCACTGGAAACTTCAGGATCTTACTTTCTTTGGCGATAAGACAGGGCACACTCCGGAGTCGTTAGCGGAAGACTTACAGACGCTTCATCTTACCTCCCAATTTTCAACAAAATCGGATACAGCCATTGGTAACCGCATTGAAGAGCCTGGTTCCGTCGACTCGGCAGAAACAACACGAAACATTGCTATTGAAAAAACATATCGTTATACTTATAACATCAAAAACATGACCCTCGCAAAGCTAGGCCTAGCGCTCCTTGAGATAGGTCACAAAAAAGACATTGAAAAATTCGACCTCGGCCAACAACAACACGATGTGATTAGTGCGCGCATCCTTGCGGATTCACCACATACCGACTTTGGCCCACGATACCAGCGGATAGTTCGGAAATGTCTCGACTGCAATTTCGCTACTGGGGATGATTTAGCCGACAAGAGCTTACGGGATGCTGTTTACAGCCATGTAGTGTGTGAGCTTGAGGAAATGATAGAGGCTCATAAAAACTGGCAAAAAGCAACTCAGTAGCAATATTCCTTTGTTCATTTAGGCCTGTTTTATTCACCAAAAAACAAGCTTTTGAAGGACTTGAGTATACAATGCTTGAGTACGCATGGCAAGGTGCAGCTACATGTCGCGCATTTATTTTTATTTCAACAATACAGCTTCTCTGGCTAGGACTTTCGCAAGTTCTGTTGGTGTGCTACGATAATGCGGGATGTCTACCCGGCAGCTGTTTTTGTTTTTAATGTCGATGAATTTAACCTTTTGTCGGGCCGTACAAAGACAGCAAACTAAAATGAGCGTATCGCAGAGAGTACTTTCCAGTTAAGAAAACTGCATGCAACATTCATCGCAATTCAAGTTTCAACAAAGGCAACCCTCGCGTGCCTCGGCCCAACGCCAACGGTCTCGGCCCTTCTGGCCAGGCCTCGACTCCACCGCACAAACCACCTTCACATTCTTTCAGCGCAAAACAAAAAAGAAAAAGAAAGGAGAAAAGAAAGGAGAAAAGAAACTGCACACCCAATGTGTGCTCCCGAAGGCTTGCAATGCATCAGCCGCGAATCGAACGCGGGGCCCATCGATGGCAACGATGGATTTTACCACTAAACCACTGATGCTGCTGGTAATTGATGTCAAAACATTTTGGTTGCTGCTTCTATGATCTGGAAACCAAAATTGTCGTCAATAGCGCCCAACGCTGGCGTTCTTACCTTGACGTCAGTGTTGCCATTCAGCTCTGAGATTTCCCATGTCATTGATACAGTCGCTGAGGAAGAATAAATATCTTTTGAACTAATTATTTTCTTAAAAGTTTGCAGCATGAACAATGTGTACAAGTACCAAACCACTAGACTCACAATCGGGACTGAACTAAGATACTCTGTTTCAGTCGCGATTTGTGAAGTTTAGCGGAAATTAACGTCAGAACAACTAGATCACCATTATATATTTTCGCGGAGATCACGATCAATTGAAAATCGGAACAATATTATCCTTAACCGCTACATTAACGCATGGGATGACTACACTGTTTAGAATCTTAGTTTTTTCTAATATGCTGTTCCGCTGCGAGTCGGCTTAATCTAGCAGCACATGCGCGCCTCCGGGTAGCTATAAAAAGCTAAGCTAGATTCCCATCTTCGCAATCTTCTGGGTGGATATACTACCTTTACTAATAACTTTTGGAGCGGTGCTTCAACCACACCAACCATTTGACGTAGATTCAGCGAAAGGGCTAGATATCTCGCAGAGTGGTTGCTTTTGAACGGGTTGTATTTGGCCTGCATCATAAGATCACCGAAAGTTTGAAAAATAAGAGCAAGCTATTGAATTTGTTTTCCAATGAAAAGGCTATCTGCTAGCTATACGCCTTTAAGATGTTGTCCGTGTTGAAAAAATACGCCGGTGCAGGCAAAGCCGTCAACACAAGGCTTCGGAGGTGTCGGGTTAAGCTTTTGTATGCTATGGGTCATTTTTATTTTTCAGTATGTAAATGGCTTCGCGAACGTTTACATCAAGACAACCTGAGTGATTTCTTCAATATTCTACAGAGAATACGGTTTTGTTGGTTTGTAGAAACAGTTTGAAAAGAACGCCTAATACTATCGAGAAGGTGGCCAAGCGGGGATCGTGGTTGCGGCTTTGTTTCAGTGAATGGCGATTGGCAGATCTGGCACCTAAAACTGCTTTTTTGACGTGTTTAAGAGAAACCCCAATATGAGCCTGAAACAAATGTCTGGTCATGAATTTCTAGCGTCCAAGTTGCTCGTTTTGGCTGACCATGAGGCCTTGACTCTCGATTAGCGGAACTGGTTTCACAAGTCTCCAAAAGAATTAAAGTAGGTCTTGTTTTTTCTCAAATGCTTCTTAATAAGAAACACTTTATAATTTCCCATTGCTATTCAATAACGTAACTGATTGCTAATAGAAGTCTCTTTATTTCCGAATCTAAGTTTCTCGTTGCAGAAGTCGTTACTACGTACCAAACTTCATAAGCAGGACTATCACGTAAAATGTGCTTGAGAAAGAGAACTTGTACCGAAAGAAAAAATCATATGCATTTAGGTATAAGAGATCTAGCTCTGATTTGAGGTTACAAATCATCGCATCCAAGTTACCGAAGGCATTCAAATAATGGCTACTAAATAAGAAACCAAACCACTGACCTCCAGACTCCAGACTCTCCATTACTACACTTCTATATCACAAATCAACATCATTCAATCTCAATCTCCCCTTACAACAAACACGCCTACCTCTCCCTCCTCCTCGGGACCTCAGGCGGCTTCCTCGGGTTCTCAAAAACGCCCTCCCTCAGCCACTGTGCCGGCAACCACATCTGTGTCTCTGGGCTCAGGTACCAGTTCGCATTCCCCTCGCGCTCGACGGGCTCGTCTGCACAGAGGCCCCATTTCTCCTGCTGTGGTGGCGGCCGCGGTCGTGGCCGTGTGTGGCTGAGCGCGCGGTTAAGGAAGGAGGGCTTCGGAGCGGATGTGGAGGTTATGGGTTGCGGTAGGCGCTGGCGCGGTGGTTCCCGTGCTCGCTGCGTCTGGGTGCGCTGCGGTGGGATGTGGATGGCTGTGCGGGGCGGGGAGGGCTCTACATGCGGTCGCGGACGTGTAAGAGTAGGGGTGTTGGCATCGGCGTTGTCGGGGATTGAGGCGAGAGAGAAGTAGCTCTGTGCGCTGTCTACTCTTCTCGTGGTGGGACGCTGAGACTGCGCGTTTAGAGCTGTGGGTCTGTGACTGGGAGATGCTCGCGCCCGAGGTGTAGGTTGCGGGTTATACGGGCTCAGTGTGTACGGGTTCTGCTCTGTGGAGCCTCGAGTTTGTGTATCGTGAGAACTTTGTGCATAGCCTCGAGTCGAACTTTGCGGATCCGTAGGCAGTCGGCCGTATGGGGTAAGTTTGTACGGGTTCTGTGATGTGAAATCTCGTGTTTGTGGGCTGTAGGAGTCCTGTGCATGGCTTTGAGAAGACCGTGTCCGGCTCGTAGTCAGTTGTTCGTACGGGGTCAGAGTGTACGGGTTCATGGTGAGCGTGTGGTTACCTGTCTTTGGAGATTACTGGTGTTCGGTGCTTTCTGAAAGGCCTTGATTATCGTGTCTTTATGAGCAAGGTAATGGGATGTTGTTGAGTATGGTTGTTTTGAGACTGTGGGATTGTCTGCGTACAATTCACATTAAATTCCGTTCGAGCGTGAGTTGAGTCTCCACGGGATTCGCCCACAATATCCATCCCATGATTTTATCCCGCTTCCTGAATTGTTTTATATGTTCAAAATTATTAGTTTTGGACTAAAGTATAATCGACAAGGCCTGATGTTTTATTGTTTATTGTTTATCTATGAATATCACACCGAGAGTGGGATCCAATCCCAAGCAGGAACCAAGGAATACACCTCCACCGAAAGCAGGGTGCATCCAAACACCGACCAAAACGTCAAAGAGACCTCTAAGACAAATCAGTCAAGTTCAGAACATGTTCCGTCTCTGCAGCCACTGGTCCTTGTTAGGAGGCTGCTCACCTCTCTCCTCCGCCTCCTTCTTGACAACGTAGTACTCCTCCTCGTAAGGCAGCGAAGAATACTCCTCATTACTCTGACCAGGAAAGTTCTCAAGAGCCGAAACAGTGCGATGAAGCTCAGGCGCCGGATTGGCAATCGGAGTCACCACGGCCCTGAAGTCATTAGAAGCAAACGTGAGGGTAGGCGCACCTATCTCCATCTTCGACACCTTCTCCTGATCACGGTTGTTAGACGGGAACCAGAAGCTGGGGCTCCTGACCTTGTGGGTGGCGTTTGTCAGTTTGCGCTTGATGCCAGGCTTAGAGGTGGAGCTCGAGGTCTTCGTGGCCACTGTGTCGCTCTTCGCCATAGATGGCTTGGTCTGCGGCTGCGGTCCCGGATTACGAATACCGATCAGGGGGACTGGCGGCGTGTTCATGGTCGCGTTGGCCTTGTTCATGATGCCTCCCCACATCGTCATGGCTGAGGCCGTGGATTGGGCCTGGACGGGCTGCATGTACATGTCTGGCTTTAGCGACGACTGCGCCAGCTTCGCTTGAACCTGATGGCGCGGCGACTTAGGCGGGATAGGTGGAGGCGGCGAATAGATATCGACCGTCTCGCCGTCTCCGGAGAACGGCCAGGTCCGGGCGTTGTAGCTGGAGTCATTGTGGTGTGCCATGCTGGTCGGAGTGTGAGCTTTCGGTCCCGTGTACATGTTGTTCGGCTTGCTTGGTGCGGTTTGAAACTACAGTTCGAGAGCGGTCGAGTGCTCGTTCTCGAGAGTCGAGTGCACTGGAGAGGTTTTACTGCAGAGGGTTGTTGAAGATATACTCAGGAGGCACCAGGTTACGACATTGTTCACACAAAATTGGCTTTGTTCTATGTTAAATGCATTGTTACTAAATAATGTCGCAGGGACAGTCTGGCATTGTTAAAACTTAGTTAACTACTCAGACAATGTGCCTACGGGCCCATAGGTCCTTTCCTTGCCATGGAAACACTACGCTATTATCAGTTAGCAGTTATTTTTCTTCTTCCTCAGGGCGAGTTGTTTCGCAAGTTGACAACAAACGCCCACTTACTACCCGGCAAAATTTCGCGCACTAACAGCACACAATCATCAAATAATAAACAACAAAGCAAGTCAGAAAACGTCCATTGAAGAAGTAACTACAACTCAAGACCCAAAACCCGAAGCTCAAATACCCTATAAGCAAAAGGCAAAAACAGTTTCCCGCATGATCGCCGACATCAAACCCAAAAGCCGAAAGACAGACGCGGAAAGAAAGCTAACCATCCTTTAGAAAGGCTCACCAACCCTGTCCCCAGCCTACATAGCTTTTTATCCTCTCCCTTAAGGATCAGAATCAAAATCACTCACTGACTCATCATCACTTACCGATCCAGAATCAAACTGCACACGCCCGCTCTCAACCTGCTCCTCCCAGCCCCTTAAAATCGCCGCCGAGTTCACTTTCGTGATATGCATCGGACGAACACAAATCAAAGGCGTCGGGCCGCTGTTTACACGGATACGATGACTCAGGTCTTCAGGAACTGCAGTATCAGCGTGTTTGGGCCGCGGACCCCCGAGCTCGCCACAACTGCCGAGCATGCTGAGGCTCTCGAGCGAGTCAGTGTTAGACATTGGGTTAGGGGCCGGACGGCGTTGAGTTGTGCCTGCGGCACGGGGGGCACGAGCGGCCGTGGAGGCCCTGAAGGCGGCGAACGTGTTGCTGCGCGCTACCGCCACGGGCACACGAGGCCAAGAAACGGCCTGCAAGGACGATCCGGCAGCTGTGGACGTCTTGTCCTGAGGCTTTGGGGAAGTGGTGCGCTCGCTGCTTGAGCTGGAGAACCGGCTCTGCAGCCGCAGCGGCGCACGAGAGGAACCGGAGCCTGCGTCAGTTACACTGTACTTCAGGTTGACGTCCTGCATGGCAGCGGGGTTGAGCGCACGGGGTGCAGTGCCAGAGATACCGCCTTCCTCCGCGAGGCGGAGGTCAGGGGTCTTGGACCGCGAGGGTGTGGCGGCGTTGGCGTTGGTGTCGGTGCGTGACTCCGGGGGCGGCTCGGAGAAGCGCGTCGTGAAGAAGCTTAAGCTGCGGGTGAGCGCGGCTTGGAACATGTTTACGGTTGTTTGCGTGGGCGATCAGGTGTGGGTTGTTGATGCGATGCTTGCAGGTTGCCGGGTTTGCGGAAACAGCTGACGAGGTGGGACGTCTAGAATGTTCGCAGGTGGAGTTTATATTTGGGTAGTGTAGATTCTTAGAGGAGTTGTGTTTGTACAATTGCAGAGGTTGTAAGCTTGGTTATTGTTGCTAGCGGTGTTGTCTGCGGACAATGATTTATTTAGCGTTGGGTTTCATGTGGTAAACTCTTCACTATGTGCTATGTCTCACACGGAGAGCTTCCTACAAAGTAGGGTCTTCGGGAAGGTAAGAAGTCCTAGTTAACACTAACAAATATATCTACGTAATCTAAATAAATAAGGTGTAACTTCGAATTTTTTCAACCCTGTATAAGCGGGACTCTTTCAGACGAAAGTATACAATACCCAGCTACTTCGTATCTGCATGGCATGCAATGCGCAAAGGAAATAGCAAATTTCGTATGAGGACAGTACGGACCTGCTAAAAACCTCACCAAGTCACGCTTAGCGGGATAGGCCTGCCATTTTTGCATATGGGTTTTCTGCTTCGGAGCTAGACAATGATGAAGACATTGTCCTTACTAGACGCTATCTTTATTGGGACGTGGTTTGTAGCTTCTGTTGTAGATAGATAAAGCCGTGGTGGTCTTATGTTTTGATATCCGGGTAGTTACGAAGGGATTTGTAGACAGCTAGTGAAAATTTTTATTTCAAATCCCCTGGGATTTGGAGCAACATGGTGGAAATGTAGTCGTAGACGGGCGGGATCTGCACGATAGATATCAAGAAATACATCATTTCAATATCATATTACACAAATTCTGGATATACGATTGACGTTGAGACAGTGCTCCTCAAGCTAGTTTAATTCATGATTTATCAGGCAGTTCAATTCTTGATTTCTGCGACACTCTATTAACAAGTCTCTATACATATATATACTGTAGCAGACGCAAAACGCCGGTGGAAACCCAGCATGGAGGCTCTTAAGTCTTCGCTTCAAGACGCTCAGCTTCAACACTCCTGGTGTCAATACGAACGATGCCGATGCTTGTGATGTCGATACTGCTTTTTGGGTGGGTGGTCTTGGAGTCGACGCTTACGGAATCAATGCTTTTCGAGTCCAAACTACCCGCCTCCAAGCTCTTCGTCTCAAAACTGTCTGTCTCACTCTTCCCAGCCTTCTCATCTATACCCTTTTGCGCCTCTACATCTTTCTCGAAATCCGGGGTCGGACCCTTCCCTTCCTTTCTTATCACCTTCCACCACGCCACCCTTAGCATCTTCCGCACCAGCGCAGCTGGCGAGCAGTCCGCCGCCTCCGGATTCTTCTTCGCGTACCACCTGCCGACGAAGAACAGACTCAAGAGTACCAGCGCTATCACCGCCAGCGGCACAACGGCGTAGAGAACGACTGAGCGCATGATTTTCGAGGTATTGTGCGCGGAGACGCCGTTGGGGAGGGGCGGGAGGACGCCGGTGCCGCCGGCGGGCTTGGACGAGTCAAATGGATCATAGCGCGGGTGAAGTTGAAGTTGAAGTTGCTGGGGAGGAGACATTGCGTTGACGTTGGTGGTGGAGGTGAGGAGTTTGAAATGAAGTGAATTGACAGTGCGGGTTCGTGTGCTTTATCGTGGATGTGAGATAAAAGACTTGTGCGGGGACAAAATATATTGTTGGTGGACAATGCGTGGTTTGCGTCAGTGCGATGGTGGCGTTGTTCTAGTTCTTGTTTTTTGAGGTTTGGCGAGCAGACAAAGGTTGGCACTACGGAGAACCAGCCATGGCTGTTGGGACAAAGGATACGTAGACTGTAGTGAGGCTTTGTGTAAACCTCAACTAGATCTTCTTTGTTGCACAAAACATCGTCACTGTCTACGAAAATTCACGAAAAGGGAAAATCAAATCGGGTCAAAGTTATTATCATTTGCTAAGAGACAGCCGCCGTCCAGAATCGCAAATATCTCCCAAGAAAACCATTACAGTATTAGGAAACCGGAGACCGCGCCCTCTGCGCGCCCTCTGAAATCACAAAGGCCACCTTAGAATGTCATCGCTCCTCAAGGCCTCAATAGCAGCGCTTACGTACTCACAGAGGGCCTACTCTACTGCCTCAACCTCCTCATCAATGCTCTGAAGCGGGACAAAGCTGCACCTCTCCTTCCAAGCACTCTTGGCACGGTTCGGTCTGCCAAAATTGCACTTCTTCGCAGGCACAAGCGGCCTCTTGCACTCCGCAAGAAGGCTCGTACGCTCCGTAGCCTCAGCACCAAGCAGCACATCATCTACATCCTCAGCATCCAACTCATCCACGCCCTCAAACAACCACTCCCAATCCCTCGACTCACGCTGCGCGCGCAAGGCGATCATCGCCATGAGAACCACAAACATGATCAGGGCAAGAGCGCTCAAGATCACGGCGATGCCCACCATTGCGGTGATTAGGGGGCCGGGGGGCTGGATTTGGTTCGGTGGCTGGGGGTCCGTGTTGCTGTTGTCGGGGCTTAGGGACCAGGTGCTTGCGAAGGGGTTGTGGGTTTGTACGGATGGGCGGAGGCGGATTGCTGGCATGGTATTGGTGAACTGTCGGATTTGGGGACGAATGGGGATGGTTGACGGTTATATGGCGAGAGGCGGTTTATATGTGGAGGGAGTGTCAGGGCGGAGAGGAGCTGTGTTAGGACAGAGTACGTGGTTTCGGTACAATGCGAGGTGTGGTAAGGTAGGCCGAGGTGTTAGAGGTGTAGGTGTAGTTGGAAAAGTATGTAAGCTGTAAACATTCTGCAGCAGGAAGATCGTGTGAACTGTGGATAATTAATGGCAATTTACAGTTGGTTGGTCATTAGTACCTAAATGGCAAAAGACGTATTTGTCTCTACAAGCAATTAAAAAATATAGTAATTAAAAAACATAGTGAATTGTTTGTGTTCTCGGAGACATGCATATACACGACAATGTTGAAAACAGATAGCAATCACCTTAAAAAACTTAGTACTCACGATCGGTTTCATTATTCTTTCATTTTAAGCAACTCCTTACTCCTATCAAAGAAACAGATTCTAACAAACACCTGAAGGGACTACAGTCTAAGGTCTACGCATTCTAAGAACTCAAAACTCAAAGCAAGTTTAAGAAGCACAAACCAAAGCCTGTAAACAAAGGACAACCGACAAAATCAGCAAAGAGACGAAGCACATTCACTGCCCTAAGCAGCGCCTAATCTTTTAGGTAATGTATACAGCAGCGTCGCACTGCTACAAATCAGTTCTCGCGCAACACACGCGTCCGAATCGGCAGCTTCCCGGGCCTCTGCACAATAACGACCTCCTCAACCTCACGCGGAGGAGGGGTAGGAGTGAGAGGGCAATCACGCGGAGGGGTAGGAGGAGAAGCCAGCGCCTTATGAGGAGCATAATCCCCATCCAGCGGCCCATCCAGCGGGACATCGACAAACTCGCCCGAGCCCTCGCTCGAGCCCTCGCTGCCGACCTCGAAGCTGTCCGCCGGCGCAAAATACCGGTCGACGGAGAAACGGCGCAGGCTCGTAAGATGCTGCTCCGGCTCCTGCTCGTGCGCAGGGTCGTGCAGGTTCGCGGCCGGCTTGTGCGGGATGTGCGCGGCGGTAGGGGCCGTGGGGTGCTGTAGCGGGGTGAGGCGGCGCCAGTACGTCGACTGTGACTGCTTCTGCGCCTGCGTCTGCGTTTGCATCGTGGATTTGTCTGCCGCAGATATGTGCGGCTGCGGCTGCGGCTGCGGCTCCTCGCGCTCGATAGTCAGGCGGATGCCTGTGGGGGGCGAGTGCCTGCGGGGAGCGGGTTGCGGTTCGCTGCTGGGTTGCTTGTCCACAGCAGCCATCTCGATGTCCTCGTAGCGGCGGTTCTTCCTAGCGCGACGGCCGCACAAGCAGGCCGAGAGTGACGTTCCCCGCGTGTTGGCGCACAGGAGGCAGATAAGGGCGCCTAAGAGCAAGGAGCCGATGATGGCGGCGGGAATGATCACCGCGAGGCTGCCGATCCAGTCGCCGTTCTTGCCGGTTAAGGAGTCGTTGGCACGGCGGAGAAGAGACTGAGAGGGCGTGTATGCCGCGCTGTGGGAGTGGTCAGAGTCTACGATGCTTGAATGGTTGAGGGGCCATGCCGTCGTGTTCCAGTTGGGACGGTAGGGCGGCTGGAAGCCTGTGTGGTTGTAGGTGCTGTTGCTTAGTGGGGAAAGCTGCGCGGAGCTGTTGAAGGCTGTGCTACTGCTGCTGCTGTTGGAGAGAGCAGGCAGGGTGTAGGGATAGAAGCGCTTCGGAGCCATGGTTGCAGTGTTGCTGGGGTTCGAAATGGTGAGCACGTCTGCCAGAGTCGTCGTGTTTTGAAGGATCCAGATCCTGTGTCAAACACCTCTGAGAGCTCGCTGTTGCTGATGTAGCATCTATGTGGATGACACGTGAGTATTTAATCCAGAGACAGACGGCAGACATGATGTTGACTTACAATGCCCGAAAGGCTGTACAATGCAAACATGAGTCTTGTTTTCGAACAATGCGAAAACAAAGATTCATGGCTATGTCCATGATTGTTTGTGGGTGCAAACGAGTTTGCTCTAACAGTCGACTGGAAGAAAGGAAGTAAGACGTAAGAATCCTGGAGACTATTTGGAAGTATCAAGAGTGTTCTATTTGAGAAATATCAATTCAAATCACGCGCATATAAAGAGAGAAATAAGTACCTACCTTCTGAACCATATGGTCATAAAGCTAAATATCCGCGCTACAAGCCAACTTAGATAGCCTCAACACAGTCAATTTTTATTAATCGTCGGGAATGTATCCGATGACGATCGTTTCAAAGCCGCCACTGGATAAGCTAGTTCCAGTATCAGTGCTAGAGTCGCAAAGACTGGCAGTGAATGACTGCGCAACAGGCGATACCACCCACGAACCCCTCTGCAAGAGATCATTCTCGTTGAGCGAAACCGGGCGTCGGTGACCCGGGAAGGAGGTATAGGATTCACGCCGAAAAATCGGCGAGGGAAGCTTCAAAGGTTCAGGACAAAACGACGCCCCCCAAAGCCTGGAGCGGTCCAGCAACTCCCTACTGCTTCCTGTATTTGTCTTCGAATTCAAGACAGCCAGCTCTAGAGAAGGGTTAGAAGACAGGCCGAGCTGCTCCTCAGCAGCCGCCACCTCCGCAATACGGCGTCCAAGCCCATCATACTCAGCCTCATAGTCAACAGTGTGGCAAAACGGATCGGCCGTTGTGATGCACGGCGTGCGCTGTTTCAACGCCTCGCTAAAGCGGCGATTCGACCTAATTCTGACGCGGTTCTGGGGGCCATAAGCGCGCTCTTCGATGTTCAAACGCGTCACGATGCGCAGCACGCGCTGCCAGAAGCGGCGGTGCGCAGCCTTGTGCCAGCCGCTTGCACGGCGGGCGTGTCTGTTGTAGAGGCGTGTGACGGCTTTGTGGGAGGGGCTGGACAGCGACCTGTCGTCCCAGTAAATGTAGTTAGCGTAGATGTACAGGATGAGGTAGAGGAAGAAGACCGCGCCTACGGGCGTTAGGAGCCAGAAGACAAATGCTTGGGCCTGGACAGATATGCCGCGGCGGGCTAGCGTGGTGAGCATTGTCGGTACACTTGAGCTGTTCATGATTGGGCGGAATCGGGCAGTCAAAGGGTCGTCGTCGATTTAAATTTCTCGGAGAGGTCATCTCGTGTTGCGTATTGTTCGAGTTCAATACTTGAGGCTGGTTAGCATGGGTGAGGGGCGCGGAATCTGTTGAGCATAATGTATTGTCTGTGAACTTTGTGGAAGTTGCTGTACATAAGATAAGACAAGGTCAGCGCTGCTGTCAATGTCGTCGGACAATCTTGACGGACAGTCTCAATTTGACGTGAAGGCATTCACTCAACACTGAAGGACCCTCACCACCCGTGCGTCGCAGCTTCTCGTCCTTCTTCAACACCACCATCTCACCCGGATTTCGTCTACTTCTTCACATCCACCCTTCACCTCCGCGACATCTTCCTTCTCACACCATGTCAGCATATATACAACCAGCCGACGACGTCCTCCGCGACACCAACGACATCGGACAGATCGGCGAAGGCGGCGACGGCGCAGTACACGTCTTCCGCGGCGCTCCCGGGCACGCCTTTGCCGTCAAGTACTACAAAGGCGAGGAGACGACGACCTACATCAACGAATGCAACACCCTCACCTTGCTCAAAGACCTGCGCAGCCCGCAGGCGCCACCGGTAATTGAGATCTTCGCGGCAGACGACCCCAGCACGCCTCACCACCGGCGCATCGTGCTGGAGTACTGCCCGGCGGGCGACCTGCGCGAGTACGGCCTGATGCACCACAAGTTCCAGCAGCGCGTGGAGGAGGTGACGCTATGGCGGTTCTACCGGAACCTCGTGGACGGGCTGGCGTTCCTTCACTCGGGGTACGGCACGCGGCACTACGGCTCGACCTGGCGCCCTATCGTACACCGGGACATCAAGCCGTCGAACATCCTGCTGCGGCTGACGGGCTGGAACCTCGCGGTGCCGCACCAAGTCGTTCTGGCCGACTTCGGCCGCGCCGCCTTCTTCAACCTACACGAGCCCTTCTTCGAGGGCGGCACGCCCAACTACACGCCGCCGGAGCAGCCGTACGCGGGGACCGAGGGCGACGTGTGGGGCGTTGGCGCCATCATGCACTTCCTCGCGCTGGGCAAGCCGCCGATCGCGGATGCAAGTGAGTGGCCCCGCCGCGCGCCCATGAGCGACGACGACTGGCGTGAGATTCCGCGGAAGGCGTACCCCCTGGTGCCGAAGTACTCATCGCAGCTGGATAGGTTGGTTCTTCGGGCTTTGGCGTTTAACCCGTTGGAGAGGTGGACGGCGATGCAGCTCGTGCAGGCGAACTGGCCGGTCGGGACCGCGGATGACGAGGCGGACGTGCCGATGACGATTCTGGATGAGGAGTAGGGGCTGGAGGGAGAGGGCCCGTAAGCATTATGGGCGCGCGCCGAGGAGAGCTTTTAGGTGGTTAGAGAGTACGTAGATGCGTGGGTATGGAGTGAGCTTGTGGTACATGATTTCGCTTACGTTCAGCATAGAGACAATGGATATTCTGCTCTCGATTTGGTTTTTGTTCAGTGGTGATAAAGTACTTTGTACTATACCAAACAGGATCAGTATTAAGACCTGTAGAGGGTGCTTTAGATGGGTGATTTTGCTCACGTTCAGCATAGAGACAATAATCATTCTGCTCTCGATTTAAGTTCCGTTTAGTAGTAATAAAACCCTTTATACACTCGCAAAATACACCACTATGCTAACCTAGACAGCGCTCTAAACCAACACCGCGACATCTTCTACACATGCTTTAAAAGCCTCTACATACCTATACACCCCCTCCCCTAATAACCGCAAAACGCATCTCCATCCCCCCGCGGTATATATTTATAAAACACCCCCCTTCCTCTCCAGTATACCGTATACGTAACCGAACGCGGTATATAAAATCGGTTAGCGCTGGGAGGTGGGATTAGGTTCAGGGGCGTTGAAGAGCGCCGCGAGGATGAAGCCCGTGGTGCCGTAGTGGATGATGTCGTTGCGCGGGTCGCTGGGCACGCTGAGATACTGCGTGCTGTGGGCGCGGTAGCGGCGGTTGATGGTCGCGTAGAGCGCTGTGTGTTGCTCCCATTGCTGCTGGAGGGCGTGGTAGGGGTGTGTGGGCGGCAGGGCGGGGAACGTAATGTGTGTGTCGGGCGTCCAGCGCGTGGGGTTGTAAAAGGAGGTGCTGGGGCCGTGCTGTGCGCTGTAGGGAGCCGAAGCCATGGGGTCGTGGGGCGGGTGTGTGCTTTTGAAGCGTTTGCGCGCGTGCGTGTCGGTGTCTCTGGACCAGCTGGCTGCGCGCTTTGCTGTGTGTATCCGTTGCCCGTCAAGGGGATTTATAGCTGCGTGTGATTCCATTGTTCCGGTGTTGTGGAGAGACAATGCGGTGTTCGTTGTAGACTGTGGTAAGGGTGAGCAAACAAAGGCGAGGCCTGTTGATGCTTCGAGAACTTGCTTTGGGAGATTCGGACTTTGCGTTGTGGAGTTTGGAAAGTGAGATGGTGTTGAGAAGCTGCAAAAGTTGGCGAGCTAAGGGACGGCGGGCGGATTTGTAGCAAACTGGTGTTGTTGTTGTGGTGGAAAAACAGGTTTGTACAAAGAGAGGTCGAGCAGACGTTTTCTTTGTTCTTATATTGCAACACCAGAAACCTCTGGTAAAAGCATGTACACTCTAGCTATGCTCCGCTAACAGATTCGATGCCGATGGCCCTGTATATCCGGTTCGAGTATAATAGATATTCCAGCATATACCGGGCAGATTTATCCCTGCCTACGCACATCCGGAGGAGAATTTTGTTCTCGTGTTAGAAGCCAGTATCCTATTATCCCTATGTTTGTATGGCCTTTCTTAATATTAATTGGACTATTTCCAGCTAGGAAACTAATGGTTGGAATGCTTGTATTTTGTTTTTGCCGAGAAAATAATCCCCACAGGCTCTTTCAAGACAGCCAATTAAATATCTTATAGAGTCAATAGCAGAGACTTCAGCACAACATGAAAGTAAGAACGTTAGAGACTTCATGGTATTTTATTTTTATTTTTATTTTACCAACATCGCAGACCTACAGCCAATGTCAGCGTCTATAGGTCATAGGTAATTTATCCAAGCTCAGCGCTTATCACCGACTCCGCCTGGTCTCAAAATCCACTCTAAAACCACAAGAAACCGCCCACAGCCACCAACTCCGCATCCAATCCTTACATCCAGCAGCGCATAAGCTCGCCTTAATCCCTTCCCTAATCATCCGCACCCTCCCCCAAGAGTCTCTCCCCCAGAAAGACGGCGTCCCTCACGACCCTCCCGTCCACATTCGCCGCATCGACAACCCTAACCAGCAGCCCCTTCCACTCGTCCGGCTCCCACAGCTTCTCCTCACCCTCTAGTACCCGCACCACCGCATCCCGCCAAAGCAGCAAATGCCGCATCCTGACCCCGTTCTCGCAGACAAGGAGGCCAGGCACCAACTCCCCGCAGCGACACAGCAGGCGCGCCACCGGCGGCTGCGTCGCCAGCATGTCTGCGAAGAGCGGCGTGCGCGCGGAACTGTGCAAGGACGACCAGATTAAAGGCCAGGGGAATGGGATGCTGCGTTTTGCGGCGGGGCTATCGCTGTCGGTGTCGAGCGGGTCGGAGGTGGCGCTTGTGGGTGATGAGGATGCGGTGCCGAAGAAGGCGAGGTAGTGCGCTGTCGGCACCCAGTCGGGGATGGACAGGTGCGTCGTGTTCCGGTTGTCAGCCACTGAGGAGGCGGGGGAGAGGAAACCGCAGATTTCTGCGCCGAAGCCCGCCTGCAGCAGGGGGTTGATGTGGACGTGCGAGCTTGTGCTGAGGTCGGTGCTGACTCCGCCTAGATACGGCACGTCAGCGTCAGCAGCAGCGCTCGTGCTCGTGTCTTTGAGCACGTCGAAGAGGCTCTCAGTCAGCTTGCCTGTAGGCTCGAGGAAGAGGACGCGGCGCAGGGCGCGCGAGACGTCGACGACCGCGCGCCAGTGGCGCGAGACCTGGCGGGCGTGGATGAGCGCCGTCATGCTTAGGCTGTTGGTTAGGGGCGAGGAGGCGGGGCCGTGCTCGCTGGCTAGGGCGAGGAGGATGAGTTCGAGGAGTTCGGGCGTGCGGAAGATGCGGTGCGCGGCGCTGGCGCTTGGGGGGGTCGTTTGGTTGTTGGTTGGTGTGTGCGTGGGGGTTGGGTTGGTGGATTCGCCGTTGGGGCGTTTGTGAGGAGGGGGAGACATGGTCGTTATGTCTTGTGGTGTGCTGTGAATGTACATGTAGGGAGGGAGTTGGTGGGTATTTAATGGAAAGAGAACGATGAGACAGGAAGATGTTGTTTGGTGATATATACTGTGTATGGGGAACACGACACGACGGCGTGTTAAGGTTTCTGGTATTAACGCAAGGCTGGAGCGTACGCCACGATCCGGTATTTTAAGGCTTGGCGGGTTTAACACGGTAAAGCTTTGTTGAAGCTGTTCAAAACTTCATGATTCTGACAAGGAGATTCTACTTGGCCGACTGCGACGTGAAGGATGCTTGTTATTGAAGCATTTTAAAGGGCATTTCTAGCTACAGTGGGGTATACCACGAAAGAAATCCTGTGTCCCGGTCTTGTGCTGAATCTGAAGGGGAAGAGTAGGAAAGGGAAAAGAGGAAACGTCTAAAAACCATATCCTCGACCTTAGCCGCCGCTGATCCCAACCCCCTCTATCGCCTTCAAAAGCCGTTGTAAAGCTAGCTGGATATGAAAAACTTGAAGTAGCTGTCGGGGTAGTCGTCGTTGGGTCCAGCTCCAGGCGGAACGGCTCCTCCAGCAAGAGGGCAGAGCGTAAGCCGATTATTCCAAGTTGAGTATCATGGCTGCTATGATCTTGTAGAGTCGAGTTGTTGCCAGCTCTTCAAGACTGCTGCAACATCTTCTGCCCGTCATCATATCTCTCCTTTACGTCATCCTATATGCACTCCAAGATAGTCTTCGCCTCCTCGCTATCCATAACCCTCGCCATAGTCTCATGGTGCATCCTCAGCGGAAACCAAGGAGAGCCCTTGACGAAGTCGTCATCCACATCGATCCTGTCCACATGCCACGCCCCAGCAACAACCAACCCCTCATATGCATGCATCCAGCGCAACAAGTGCGCGAAGCGAACGCCCGCCTTCGACTTAATAGTTCCAGCGCACTTGAAGCCGGCATTAATGCGCATCTCGAGCACAGGCGGCTGCACGACGAACATGTCCTGGATATCAGCATTGCGCGGGGCGATGAGGACGTCGCGGGGAATGACGGAGCCGAAGGTAACCTGCGTGAGTATTGACTCGGGCGAAGGCGTGTGCATCGGAATCACGCCGCTAACGTTGCACCGCGCAATAGTGTGGTCGGCGTGCGGCTCGAAGAGATCTATAAGGTCGAGCTCCAAGGTGTCTGGATTGCTGCGCCACACGTTGAACCAGAACGGGACCAGCGTCGTCATGGGCAGAAGCGCGTCGAGGAGCGGGTTCAGCTTGAGGTGCTGGGAGTGGATCTCGCGGTGCTGCCCGGTTGTGGGGTCGACGAACACCGTCTTGATCAGTGGAGGGGCGCGGTAGTATGCCGGTATGGAGCCAGGTTCGATATCGCCGGGCTCCCAGAACGTGAGCGTCGACTCCTGCTCGGGCGTCAGGAAGAGGAGGCGTGAAACCCGAGGTGAGCGTTTGATGTTGGCCTTCCAGGCCTTGCAGACTCTCATACAGGCGACGACTGTGGCCACCTCGTGCATCGGTGCGTGATGCTCCCAAGCAACAGCTGTGGGCATCTGGTGCTGGGGCCCGTAATGCTCGCTGGAAAGGATGTGGAGCATGACTTCATCGAAGAGTTCTGCGATGTTGGAGAATCGCTCGACCGCGCCGAGCGTCTGCGGAGGTGCTTCGACAGGGCGGGACCTGTGGGCGAGCGTGATTTGATCCATGGTAGGGTCCTTTGGCACGGTTGTTTGTGCTTCGGTGATGCGGAAGTAACGGAGAGAGGTGGTGCTCCAAGGTCGCGTTGATGGATGAAGCTGGCGGGGGAGTGAAGGGCCAGTGGGCGTCACAAAGCCCAACGCTGACGTCAATGTTGAGGGATCATGGAACTGATTGTTCCGTAACGCCGATCTGCCCGCTGGCGCGGTAACACTATCCTACACGTATGTTCTATTTTCAAGCTCCTTTAATTTCATGCATTTCCGTAGGATTTTCATGTGGGATAGCCATTACATATTTATAGAACTGCAACTTCGCAGAGACAGAGGAAAGGTAAAAGAAAGGCTAGCTATTTTATTAGATATAACGGCACCTTTTCTTGTAGAGAATCAGATTGCAATGTACTTGTTTACATCTCCTAGGCAAGGGAAAGATTGGCTAACTGATAAATCTAAGAATATTCAGCAACTTATGGTTGCTGCCTCAAGAAGTAGAGTAATTGTCAATACCACGTGTCTCCCTTTCGCAAACGATAAGTAGTAAAGGTCACGCGCAAATGTCAAATACGTAGACTAGTTTGATCCAGCCCTTCCGGTGCGTTCTGCTCCGAGTGAGTAAAATTGGTTTGAATAGCAGTAGCAGAAGCTTTTTAACATAATCGACTTACCATCACTGTTAAGAAGACCTTAATAAAGAATAGAGACCCATAGCCTTCCAGGAATACAGCGGACAGTCCTGTCAAACATACTTGTACCCGACAACAAACTACAAAGACATTATGCACACCAGAACCTTCCACCACACTGCGAATCAACACCCCAATCACAGGCCCCTCTCCCTCACGCACGTCCTACGCGGACCACACCAGCATTTGCTCTCTTCCACCACCAACCAAAACACCAAAGCACGTATCACGGTATCACTTACCCAGCTATTTGTGAGAAGGCGGGTTCTCTCGGTGTAGAGCTGTTCAGCTCCTTCGTTTGCTGGTGGTAGTAGATGTGGTGGTGCTCTGGTCACTCATCTGGCTGTTGCTGGCGAGCCTCAAAGGTTCTGTAAAATGATGGCGGCGGAGGTTTGGTCGAGGGATCGAGTACCTAGGTCTGCGCCTCTTCAATTTTAGCGGAGATAGGCGGATCGCAAGGACAGTTAGGCTGCTTATGTGTCTGGAGTATTTCTCGCCGAATATGAGGAATCTGCTTGGGCAGGGTAGGGTCAGCGAGGTTTTTTGGATGATTTGAAGACTGTAAGACAAACGAATAGTGTAATAGCGCCTGACTACCTCTAGTGCTGGGGAGCGAAGGTTGCATCGCCTTTCCTGGTTCCATTTAGAGACAGGACGGACTGAAATGGAGATTGACGATTGATGAATGATGATGCTGCTTGACACGAGGCTTTGCATGGTTAGTGGTCTGCGTTGGCTGAGAGAAATGGGCGACTTTGCTCTTGGACATGCGCAGTCAGGACAATTCTGCAGTGTCTGTCCATCAGGCTCCGAGTTTGGGCTCTGCTCGCGTGCAGACTTGGAAAGTCACTGCAGCTCTGTGCTCCTGGTTCGACCGGCCGGAGACCTCCCATTCACCCACCCCCCACACGTGCTTTTCGCGTCTCCGCCGCGTCTCTTCACTCTTGCATCCCCGCCCTCTTCTCTCCAGGACACCACCACCAGCACCGCCACAAACACAACCACAACCACAACTATAATCACAACCACAATGGCGTCCAGCACCACCCCACCGCGTACACCACCACCACCACCACCAGCGCCCACCACCCTCGCCGCCGCACGCACGCACCACGCCACGCTGATCGAGTGCGCCCTCCCCTCCTCTCCCCTAACATACGTACACACGACTAACACCCCCAGCGAGCTCTACATCGCCCTCCTCGCCTTTATCCGGCAGCACCCCCTAACCTTCGACGCCGCCAACGCCCCCCTCCCCTACTACCTATCCGCACTCGCCCCCGAAACCGCCATGCTCGTGCTCGACGAAGTCTCCCTGCCAGCAGGGCTGCGCCCGTCGCGCCTAGAACTACATGACGGGGCGAAGGCGCTGGGGCTCGAGACTGTGCGGTTGATTGAAACGTGGCCGGGGGTGAAGGGGGAGTTTGCGTACGTATACCTTTCCCTATCTATACATCCCTACATCCCTACGTCCCTACACCCCTTCGTAGTACCTTAAAAGCGTCTATACTAACATCTTTGGTGTAATATACAGCAACCCCAACACCCGCCTAGCCTACGCCCTCCTCCTCCTCGAAGACGTGGCGCAAGCGCTCGATACGGGCGCGGGCCTTCCGCGCTACACGCCCGACCCGCTGCCCTGGCTGGCGGGGAACGTGATGGTGTGGTTGCGGACGGTAAAGGCAGTAGCGGTGGGGGTGGAGAGGCTGCCTGCGCCGCTGCCTGCTGCTGGGGCTGCGGCTGTGGTTCCTGTGGCTGGAGCTGTGCAGGGGGGTAGTGGTGGTGCTGCGGTGGCGACGACGCCGGAGCGTAGGGGCTTGAGGAGGGTGCTAGGGTGGTTAAGAAGGGGTTGAGGCTGAGGGGGTTTGGATCTTTTGTGGGGGGATAGAGGGGTAGGTAGGTAGGTAGGTGAATGCGCGCGTGCTACATGGCTCTTGAGTCGGCTCTGTGTCGCTGTTGTGCGTGAGGTGTGTGCTGCGTGAAAGGTGTATCGTGTGGTTGTGTGTGTTGGTAACTACGTGCCGTGAAGTAGGCTCTACTGCTACGCTAGTAAACTGCTTCGCTGTCTATATACTAGGCTTAATATCTATATGTAGAGTCTTCTACGCTGCTTCTATGTGCGTTTTTATTATACTGTGTGAATTTATCTATAGTAGATATAGGTAGGTTCTTACGTAGGCGTAAAACGAAAAGATATTTTCTTTCTACTAGCTTTAGTATAGTGGTGTGTGCACTACGTGGTGTCGATTGCGGTTTATACGTATATGGTAGGATGCTATGTGCGTGGTGAGGAACGGAGTTTAGGGCTGCTGTTTAACTCTATGTGTAGATTTATCCGTACTTATTTGGTGGCGAGGTAGGTGTGTGTTATACTGTGTTGAATGCGGCGTATGTAACTGGGTAGAGACATATATGTGTGCTGTTTAACGGATTCTTGCTCTGCTGTTTCGTTATATTGTAGATTGTCTGTATGGCTTTGAGGGGGAGGTGGATAAGTGCTGCGTGGCGTTGAATACGGCTGGTGGAGGTTTGTTGCGGTAGTGTTTGTAAAGAGGTAAATAGATTTTGAGGAGGCTATTTCGTTCTAAGTTGTGCCTTGTCCGTAATGCTTTGAGATGGAGGTGCATTCTTTAGTACGTGGCACTTAGGGCAGCTGATACGGCCTTGGTGCGGTAGTAATTTGGACAATGATGAATGGGTGTGAAAGCTGCTATTTGGCTTCGTATTGGAGCAGCATGGAGCGCGGCGTGAGGCAGTATTGCAGGAAGTATTCAGCACTGTTTAAGAAGCTCAGAATACGACTATGCATGTATCCGACAAGGCACGAGGACGCTCTGGATGCCTTCAAACCAGCGGCATTCGCAGAGCGAAGAAAGCACTCGAAGGTTCCTGCTTTGTGTCTCATTGAAATGGCGTGGAAAGAAGCTTGTAGAATTTGTGCATGGGGCAATCACTTAACACAAAGAAATCTGAGTCGTGCTGAAAGCGCACTGTGTGAATGCATTGTTGTCGAACGTCATTGTCCTTTTCCCCGACACACAACACCTTTCTCCCCACAACTTTCTCTCCACAACACCAACGCCAGCAACATCGACCACACCACATCAACCACAACTACAACACAATGGCTGACCCTGCTGCTCCGATTGTGATGCGCCAGCTTCACCACCATAACACGTAGGTCAAGTGAGGTTTTGCTCGCCTATGAAAGCGTTGATATTCCCTCGCAGAACCTTCTTCCGCATCCTCGGATGTTACATGTGCTGCCACCCGGGCCTTCAGGACCGTCGGCTCTGCGTCTGGCGCGTGGTCTCGTCGCCACGCCAGTCGGCGTCGGGTCTGGTTGAGGAGCCGCTGCAGCCGGGTGAGACGGTCGCCTTCACTCTGCCGCCTGTGGCGTCGAACAGCGCCTACTACAGCATCAGGCAGGGAGACCGGCTGTTCGACCGCAACCAAGTCATCGCCGGCGCCGCCTTCCTCGCCCGCTTCGTCGAAGAGGGCATCCTGTGCCGCTGGCCGGAGAAGCACCTTAATCTTCTGTAAGTCAACCTCACCTTCGCTTCTCATTCAACGCGTGTACAACTACACTGACCCTCTCTCCTCCAGCAACGCTCGCTCCCTCCTCTCTTACACTCTCTACCTGGTGAGGGCGGCTTTTTTCTTCCTTCGCGACGTCGTCCACCACCCCGACCACATCGCGAACCTCGGTCAGCTTTACCGCCGTATCGTCCAGCCTCTGGGCCACGGCATCTTCACGTACGAGGAAAAGGATAGCCAAATCGCTATCCGCACGGCCGAGACGAGGGAGCTTGTCTCTTGGTTGCCCGGTCTCAACATTGTGCCCGCCCCACTCCCGCCTGCTGTCGTCCCGGGCGAATATCTTATCGACATTCCCGACGACATCACCGTTTACTTCACGGCGCAGGATGCTGATCTGCACGCCCAGGAGGCGAGAGCGCGCGGTGCCGGAGAGGCTTGGCAAGCTTTCGACGAGCGCTTCGCGGAGGGCGAGATGGACGACGATCTCCCCGACAATGTCCGCGGCGTGATGGGCCGTCCTCAGGAAGCCGCTGCTCCCCAAGATGCCGCCAACGCCTTCCCGGACCCTCAATTCCATGGGCTTCCGGAGGACCCCACCCTCGGCAACATGCTCGCGCAGTACAACGACCTCAACTCCTTGGGACAGATCTATCCCGAGATTGAGACCGTTCAGACCCCGGCGTACAACCCTGCCATTGCGGAAGAGGGCTACAACACCCTCAGTCAGATCTTGCGCGCCGAGAGGGAGGCCGAGAACGTCGCGTTCCCTGCTCCGGCGCAGGACGGAGCTACGTTCCTTGCTGCCTGGCACGCTCGTAACCCTGCGCCTCCTGCCACACCTACGGCTGCTCCTCGCGGTGCTGCGGCTCCGGCCCTCCCAATCGACCCTGCGCTTACTCCCGGTGACCAGCACGAGATGCCCGGCTCCGAGGACGATCCCGACTACGTCCCTGGCCCTGCTCGCAATCAAGGCGCCGGTGCCGCCATGGCCGCCGCGCCTGCAGCAGCGACTCTTCGCCCCTTGGCACCGGGCCCTGCTCCTCCCGCCGCCGCATCAGCCATGACGAAGCTGGAGCGCGCATCCCTCGCCTTCCCACTAACGGCGAACCATCTCATCCAAATCGCCCAGATCCTGAACCACCACACCAACACGCTGCTGATCGACCTCATCGGCGCGTACGTCAACAGCTACGGCACGCGCGCCGCCCTCGCGATCTGGAAGCAGCCTAAGCAGCGGGACGTGCCGCTGGCGGCTGGGCGGGCCGACATGATCGGGTCGGAGCATATGATGAAGCAGCGGTTCGTGGTGGCCATGGTGGTGGCATCACATGGGGAGTTGGTGGCGTGGTTGGGCGAGGCTGCCGCGTGCGATTTTTGTAGGGGACCGAGGAAGAAGTGGGTTAATGGGTGCTATGCCTATGACGGGATTCTGGGCGGCAGGTGCGCGAATTGTATTTGGGTGGCTGAGAAGAGGGATTGTTTTGTTTGAGGGGGTTACTGGTGCGGCTTGCGCCTTGGTCGGGCTTCTTGCCGGCGGCTGAAGCTTGATTTCTTTGGGCGCTGGGTTGCGGCTGCTTTTGCTGCTTTCTTTACTGCTGCGTCTTCCTCTGCGGCTTTTGCTGCTTCTTCGGCTTCTTCCTCTTCTTGTTCTTCTTCTTCTTCCTTTAGTGCTGCTTTTCCTTCTTCTTGAATATGATGCAGCCAGATAGGTCACCGCGTGTAGAAACCAATACGATTCCCATCTCTTCCTTACCTGTTTAAAATGTGCTTTATACGGTTTGCGAAGTAATAGAACTCAAGAGTGTTTGATCCTTAGATTATCAATCCAATTCTTTATTTCCAATCCATCTAACTGCGTGAGAATACTGCCTTTTATATATGAGAAGACAGTGTTTGTACGTAAGAGGACCGTACTTGTTGTTTGTTGTTTGCGTTTGCCTGCAGAATAAATTTGTCGAGACTTCCAGAAGCTCAGTGAATAAATAGCAGTGAAGTAATATACGTTCGTATAATGCTGTAATTATAGTGTATCCTACGGTTTCTTCTGCTTCGTAGTAACTACTATTCTAGACTGTTTCCTTTCTATTTGTATATATACTAGGCAACCTTTGCTGTATCTTTAGAGTGCTTTTTTATATAGTATAAAACGGCGTTACGTAGCAGGAGATAGTAGCTTCGTAGATATATAGAGGTAGAAAGGTACGGGGTAGAAGAGTAGGTAGAAAGATACGAAGGGTTAGGTGAATAAGAGCGGAAGAGTACTCGTAAGATAATATTAGGTAGGACCTTCGGTACTTATAAAGTACTTTTTAGGTAGGTAGAAAATGGCAGTACGTACCGGATACAAGTAGCTACGGGGTCATATAATAGGAGGAAAGTACTACGTAGGAAATTACTTTAAAGAGTACGAAGGAAGAGGCATGTAAGGGAGCCAGATATATTCTAAGTATACAAAAGCAAAATAACTATATAAGGATAAAGCTGCCTATAAAGTTTTAATAGGACGAAACACGCAAGAGCAAAAAGCAAGCCACACACGTCTAAAACCTACTATTATATAGTATTAATACTATATCAAGCCCCTCACAAAGCCTATACAATAAACCGTACAACCTACCCGTCAAATGCTTCAACAGCACACACCTACACAGGCGTAAAGAGCAATCTATACACTTCGAAACCCCGTCCCTATAAGCCGCTAATAGCCCATCTAGACAATTACATATGTACGAAAATGAACAGTGCAGAGCCCCACATCACAGACCCACTGAGTCTCTTCTCAGCGCCCCAAAGAGTGCCTCTACCGCTCTGAAATCCACCGCACAAAACAGCTAAACACATCACTAACACCGCGAGGGCAGCACTGCCCACGCAGCACCGTACGCGCGCATGCAGCACGCCGCCCCCCCGGCCCTAACCACCCACCACCATGCACCCATACCCCATCCGGCTAGCGCGGCTCTAGCGGCCCTATCTTCCCACGCCCTTCCCACACACACACACGCACCACCGCGCGCCAGACAGACAAGCAACCCAGCAAGCAAGAAGCACCACCAAGATGGCCACCCCCGACATCGTCGACGAGCACTTCGTCGCTGCGTTCGTGCACGCGGTTGAGGTGATGCTGGCGCGTTTTGAGCGGTATGTTTTGCTGTCTGCATCTCACTTCACCTTCGCGTTCACCTGTCCCTACCAACCTATCTATTTATCCTCGCTCCATAGCAACGTAAAGCCGCAAGACCAAGCTAACACACCCCACAGGCGCATCGACACCGTGATCCGCCTCATCGACACCGACATCCAGACCAACGGCATCCCCCCGCCGTACTTGTACGCTTATCCCCTCCCCCCCCAAACCCCGTCCAAACCCCCAACTTACACTAATCCCCCACTCCCTTGTAGAGCATACAGCGGTCCCTACGTCCGCCTCGGCTCCTTCCTCTCCCCCGAGAGCGTCGGCGCCTTCCAAGACGTGGCCGAAGACCTGGTGAACGCGCACTGGTGGTACGCGCAGCGGGCGCAGCGCGCCGTGCCGCTGGACTGGGGCGAGAGCGAGACGGACGCGGTGTTTGTGCCGCTGTCGGCTGCGTGGGCGGCGCTGGCGGAGCGGCTCGAGAATGCCCGGGCCGTGGTCGAGGAGTGTTTGTTTGTTGTGCGCAGGATTGGGTGGGAGGGGTTTGGGGTCGTGGTTGTGCCCAGGACGGGTTGAGGGGCGGTGCGGCTGGGCTCGGCTCTGGCTGAGGGTGCGGGTTTGGCTGGGCTTTTGGGTTTGCGGTTGCGGGAACGGTGGCCATGGCGATGGCAGTGCGCGGCGAAGCGCTCACTGCACACTGCCCCTACCTACACACATACGCACATGATCAGGTAGGACAGGACAGGACAGGACAGCACGAATGATGAATCCACTCAACACAACCAAGTCCAACTTCATATCGCGTGCCTTTGTTCTCAACTCTCAAGACGAGACAATGTCACATTTCATTGCGCGATCACTCTGTACGACAACCACGAAGACAAAAGCAAGCAGCACGATCAGAACCAACAATTTTATTGCGCACCACCACAGCTACAACTCATTCTCTTTCGTGAAGCGAAGCGAAGCCGAGCGAAGAAGAAAGAAGAAGGAAGAAGGAAGAAGGAGGAAGGAAGAAGCGAAAGGAAAAAGAAAAAAAGTAATCATCAAAGACATCCTCAAGAAGCGAAGAAGAAGCGCAAAAGAAGCGCTGAGCGAACGACACCCCTCTTCTCCCTCTCCCGCTCACACACCACCCCCCCAACAACCACCAGCACAAAAGCGAGTGACACGGCTTCCCCCCACCATCCCCCCATCCCCTCCTCACCCCATCAACCCCAACCCTTTAAGCAGCAGCAAAAGTCGAGTTCAGCGACCCAAACTTAATAGCCGAGTACGTGACGCTAGAGCTCGCAAAGTCTCTCTCGACCTCAGCCGGGACGCCAGACGTCGTCTCGCAGGTGCCGCGCGCGGCGCCCGCAGACGTCGAGTCGATCGGGTACGTGCTGTCGAGCCAGAGCATGTTGGCCTCGTGGTCGTCCCAGAGGGACATGACGAGGGCCATGCCGGCCTTCATGGCTGTGGTCATGGACCTGCAAATGGGGGCGTTAGCGAGTGTTATCTATGTAGGGGAGGGGAACGAAAAGACGTACGAGAAGCCGCCCTTCTCATTGAAGGTGTCGCGGTCGCCAAACGCCGTCTTCTGCGCCTTGCAGAACGCGTCGTTAACGGCGTTGCCCTCGGCGCCGCTGACGGTCGACACCGAGTTCGGGATGACCTTGCCGCCCTGGACGTAGAAGCGGCGGATCTCGCTCAAGGCGCCGTTGTCCGTCCCATCGGCCGTGATGAACTGCGTCACAACCGTAAACTTGCTCTTGGTGTCGACCGTCTTGCCCTCGCCGTAGAAGCTCGTGTCGCCCATGCGGTAGCTGTTGAAGTCGCAGCCGTCCGGGTCGCAGTCGCCCGCGTACCGCGTCGCGCTGTACGTGCCGCCGCAGTTGTCGCCGTCGCAGATGTGCTGCGCCGCGTTGGTGCAGGCGTGCGGCGTGTACGCCGTCGAGATCTTGTTCGCTTCCCAGATGTCCATTTCGGCGCAGCAGGAGCCGTGGTCGCCCACGCCCGCGTTCTCGTCGTTGTCCGACGGCGTCCAACCCTCCACGTTGCCCATGCCGTTGATGAACTTGAGGTCGCGCGGGCATTGCGCGTCGCAGTAGCCCGTGCCGTACTTGGCGCCCGCGGCGTTGTTCGTGTACTTGGACTTGCCGCCGTCGGCGTCCATGGCCACCATGTACAGGGCGCCGTTGAGGCCGCAGGGCAAGTTCGACACGTCGACGTCGAAGGTGAACTCCTTGTTCAGCGGCTTGAACAGCTCGTACGTGTCGTCGTCGGCCATCATGTACAGGCGCGAGCCGATGTTCTTGGTCTGGCTCTGCGTGACAAACTGCAGCTTGAGCGAGTCGCCGCTCGCCGTCGCGCCGTACGTGGCCTGGTAGTCGGCGCCGTCGAGGGCGCACTTGGTCGCGCAGTCCTCGTTGGTCGAGCAGATGGACTCGTCCCACTTGTTGCCTGTGTAGCAGTTGGTGTACCCGTCGACCGTGTGCACCCACCGCCAGTTGGAGTCGATGACGACCTTGCCGTTCTTGGTCGTGCACCCGCTACTGGTGCATTGCTGCCAGCTCATCGAGGGGTGCACCTCGGCTTTTTGCGTGCCCACCTGCTGGCCGGCGGCCATGGCGGCGAAGACAGTGAGGAGTGCTGGAGTGATCATGTCGAAGGTAGTTGCTGCTGCTGCTGCTCTGAATGAATGTAGAGGCTGCTGCTGCGTGCTGGTCTCCTTTGATCGCGCAATCCGTCCTTCTTATACCTCGCGACCTGCTCTCGAGACTGCGCCTTTGTCGAACGAAGACCGTACGAGAAGCCTCCGAGAGTCGAGCAACGAGGCCGCGGAAGCCGGGACGTCGGATGAGAGGGCGGGCGTCCCATATTGTGGCGGCGGTTCCTGAAATCTCGCATACAGATTCAGGAACATTGCAGAGCGATCTGATAATAAGTGAGCAAGTATTAGGCGGCAAATCTGGGCAGACAAGAGACGATTCGGCGCGCGCGGACGTGTTTCGAGGCTTGTTTGGGGTCTTGTCGCGGTCAGCAGACGGTGCCTGACGTCTGGGCGGGCCAGGGCCTCGAGGCGGCCGGCGCGGACCGGCGCTGCGGCAAGTGGCGCGATGATGGCGCGGAGGCGGAACGACCGCCAAGAGGGACCGGAGGGATTCTTTCACAGCGTGTATTGCCTTCTAACCGCAGTCAGCTCGGGGTGAGGTTCCTTTAGGCTTTTGTGGGGCCCCGGTCGCCCGCCCCGCAGTGGAATCCAGGCCCGTCGGACTGTGGCCCCCTGCCAATCTATCTACGGCAATTTAGCCGACCCGTCACGCACCACGAACACAAAATCCCCGGCGCTGATCCGTCGAGCGAAAGGATGTGCGTGGAGGATGGGCATTCCCGAAGCAAGGCGAAAACAGGCGTTGATCGACGCACGATCACAGAAAAGAAAAAGAAGAACGACAAGCTACAACGACAACTACACCGTCCGAACCTCGACTTTCTCACCCTCGTATCAAGTCTCCGAGGCTGCAGCGGAACGTCTCTCCGCAGCCAAGTCTCGGCCCTTGCTCTTTTGCTGCGGCGGACCCAGTTCCGCCGGCTTATCCCGACAAAATCCCCCTATCACCTTTCACATCGCTATACGTACCCCTGTACTTTATATTCGGCCCTTGCGGTTCCGCCACCAGTCAAGCGTTTTTGTTCTCTCTCCGTCGGCTCTTCCTTTATTTTTTTGAGCCCATCACTCTCATAGATGTTTCGCCATCGCATTTGAGGTAAAGAATCCACGAACGTCGCTCCGTCATGCGTACTTCAAGCGCGTCAACGTCGGTCCGGTCGCGGCTGAATGTGCAGGTGCCGGAGCAGTGATTCAGGAACGGGTCACGGGTGCCGGGGTATCGGACAGTCGGTGCATCGGTTGTTGCTCGTGTGGAGGAACGTTTTCGTTGCTTTTGTTCGTATTTTACATGTCGCACTCGGCGGAACGGAGTGGCGGGTTAGTGGCGAGAGGGTTTGAAGGCGCTTTAACAGTGGGCGGTGCCTCTTGCGATATTTTGCTCTCCAAGCCGCTCTTTCTTCTCGATTCCATTGAAAAGCCATTCCAGTTTGTCAAACTCTGCATGATGTTGCTTCCTGCCAAGCCCATTCTTCATGTCCCGAAGTCCTTGGGATTCCATCTCTTTGTTTGACCGTGTGGCGTTGCGTTTCCCTTGCCTACAGTCAACGCTTTTTGTTGTATTGCTTGTCCAAAACAACTGAGATTTTCAGAGAAGCGCCTCGGTGAAGCAAATGATTTTCCAGGCCGTGAGGGCGTTGACATTGTTCTAGCGAGATAGCTGGTAAGCAAGATTAGAGAAATGGCGTGATAAGTCAACCGAACGTTATTGCAAAGAAACCGTGTTGTAGTTGTTCTCAGCCTTCTCGGCGTACGACCTGCTTCGTGGGTGAGCTTGATGAAGGTGTGGCTGGCTCCGAGGTGACCACTGCATTGACGAGATCGGATATACCGGTGGATGGCGGACTTCCTTGGCTTTACGTATACTGAGCTTGCTCCCTGCTTGCTGGTTATAATGATCAATGCCCTGCTACCCCACCTCTAGCCGCTCGATGACGTGGTGCTACATTGTTTGTGACATATTGATGTGGATTGTGGACATGGGCTTGTGCCGCTGCTTCAGTGGGTGGGCTTTTTCGTTGCTTCCGAGGATAGTCCTTGTATTTGTAAATATGTTTGGTAAATCAATTAGGCGTCCTTAGCTAGCGTGCTAGGATTTGTTGGACTTGGAGGCGTCGAGGTAGTCTGCAAAGAGTTGCTTGTGAACAGGCGTTCCTCCTCTTGAAGGCCAAGACTGCGAGTTGTCAGTTGCAAGTACTGTTAATGCCAGAAAGGTCTTGTCTATACTCATACCACGATCAGTGCGAAGCCAAAGCAAAACGCGAGAGTTGACGCTGATATCCCCGTCAATGCTGACAAAGTCTCAGGGCGCGACCGCCAGGCAAAGAGTCCTCGCCCAAGAGCGACAAGTTGAGCGCAACGCCGCCAAATATCAAGCCGCTCGCCTCAACTGCACAGCAGCCCATGTCCAAGATAACCGTAGGATTCGTGGACATTCTCTGTCTTCGAAAAAAGCCGGGCCGTCTTTCTGAGCCGTGTGGGGTGCATCACCTGTCGCTCCTTGTCAATACATGAGCACATATTAGGTGTTTCACCAATCACCGCTACGCCCGATTTGCCCTTGTCACTGCCTTCAGGCAATGTAACCCTCGTGCTTGCCGGCTCTGCATGGCGTGTTGGTGTGAGAGGCAGGGGCCAGCGGCCGAAATTGAAGAATGGGAAGGTGTCGAGGAGCTGTGAGGGTGTCAAGCCGAAGGAGACAAGGTCGAATCGCATGAAAAGACGGTGTAAGGCTTGCAGGTGACAATGTGGGCTGGAGCTGAGACGTGCACGGCTGCAGAGCAGCGGAAGCCAAGGCGAGGACAGAGAGCAGGCGCACGCAGCCAGACATCCAAGCATGAGACGGCGCCGGGCCGGGGCCGGCAGAAAGCTAGGAAATGGGTGGGCGTTGGCACTGGGCGCTGGTTTGTTCCTCGTCGGTCGGGTCGCGTTTGGACAGTGGGCAGTGGCCCAGCTGGTTAGGTAGCAGCGCTGCATGTCCTGCCTCGGGAGGAAATGAGGACAGAGGAAGAGCCCGCGACGGCGAGAGACAGCCTGACATGTAGGTATGCCGCTGGCGTCTCTCTGTCGCCATTATGCCCAATGTGATGCGCGACGTGCATCCCCGTCCTGAAGCCTGCCCTGCCCTGGACAAATACTGTATCCGCGTCCGACCATCCCGTACATAGGTTGCACCTCGATGCGTCCGTCCCAGCAACCATATTACTCCGGCAATCGACATGTCCGTGTGAGTGAGTAAGTGAGTGAGTGTATGTGTGTGTGTGTGCGTTGGTCGAGTAGTTAGAGCAGCGGGGCGGGGTAAGGGAGAGTTGAGTGGGGAAGGCGTGCCAGGAGCGTGGTGACTGGACTGGGTGCGACGGAAGTGGTGATGGCTGGTCGAGAGGGCGCGTTACTGCGTTGCCGAGTTGCAGAAGCGTGACAGCTGGGGGCTCAGCGCACGCATTTTCGCTGGGAAGCGCGACGCCGGAGTGGGAAAGGACTTCGGGCAACTTCAGCGAATCAGCAATCACAAGGCATAAACGTCAGAAGTAACAGGAGTATTCGAAGATTCCAATAAAGACATAAACAGCCAACGCGACGTCGGCCATCTGGAGAAGACGTAGACAGTCACAGCAAAGGGCCATCGCATTCAACCGTCTTAACGCGGCAGCAAGCACCAGCAGCGCAAACTCCCTCACACACGCACAAGCTCATCCTCGCAGCCCCACCCGCATCAATGAAAAGCCCACCCGAAGGCGAAAAGTGCGTCCAAAAATTCCCTACCAGGCCGCAGCCCGCCAGGAGCAGATAACTGTGCCTAAAGACGCGGACCAGGTTTCGATGGTAGATTAAAAACTAAGGAAAGACGGCGAAAAAGAACAAACAGCAGCATCACCCTATTCATATTTCCTATCAAGAACAAAGCAAAAGAAAAGCTAGAGCAATCCTCCACCGCTCTCCCGACATCACCATCATCCAAGAAAACCACCCCCAATCACAACCCCGGTAGCGTAAGACAAGGAGACACGAGGTCGAGACGCGGCAACGCAGCTAGTAGCCACTCAACACCCAGACCCACCCGCCGGCCACGCTGCCTACAACCACCAAGACACGACATAAAAGAAAACTCCCATCAGCAATCCCAATTCCTAAACCCCAACGCAGCGTAGTCTAGCTAGCCAGTCCAGCCACCCAAGAAGAAGAAATCGCTTACGTAATCCGTCTGCCCGACCGACCGACCATCAAACCGACCGACCGTTAAACAGACCGACCGACCGACCGTCGGTCGGTCGGATTGAAGCTTGTGCTTTGGCTTTGGGCTTCGGGCGGGCAGACGGGCAGACGGTCGGTCGGTTGGTCGGATAGGTTGGTCGAGAGTCGAGACGTTTGATGCTGGGTGGGAGTAGCGGGTGCGCTAGGCGAATAGGGGAGGTTAGGCGTCTAGTGCGGCTTTCGGCGTAGGCGGTGCGGTGCGGGCTACGGAGGTGGCGGGGGTGGAGATGGCTGGGCGCTGTGCTGTGTTGTGCTGTGGCTTAGGAGTTGCATGTATACTGTTGCTGAAATAAAGGAAGGGAGTGTCTTATGGTTTGCGGCGGGGATGGTGGATGGGAGTAGAGGAAGAGGGTGTCGAGTTTAAGTCGATGGCTGAGAAGCCTTGAACGCATTGGAGCAGATGGATTGTTGACTGTTACTTGGTTGAGCGGGGAAGATAATGGAAGGAGAAAGTTCTTTATTCTATATCAAATTCCTAGCTTCCGTGCTTATAAATAACATATAAACTATAAATTTTGCCCCGGTTACCCCGATGTCTTTATTGCCTCCGATAAAATTTAGATGAAACGCTCTCGCTACTGAAAGAAAGTTGTATAGAGGGTATGCGGCGGGGGTGCAGAGTCGTCGTCGTTTACCAACGAAATACAGCGGCCGATCGAGATATTTCCGTCTATAGAGTCCCAAAACAATAGTATTTCGTCCTAGATAAAAGTTAGCTACCACATAGTCTTAAGCTGCACAGG